ACAGTGAAAAGTAAATATATGCATTGAAGAAGGTCTGTTGTTGCTTTTCCTGCAATATCAAATGAACTGTAATATTAATGTTTAGAACAAATATTTTATGTAACTTTTTTTAGTTATTTCGTAAATGACTTTGTTCTTATTTGAATAAAACGTATACGGATATGTAATAATAAGGGACTATATTGAATCCCTTTTTTGACACAAATGATTTTTGAGCACATCAGTTTCGGCTGTCGCTGAATGTAATTAAAAGGTATTTTGCTACATATTTTGCTCAATTTTTGTTTAGAAGATATGTTTCACGGGTCAAAGGTTTTAATTAATTGTAGTCTAAATTTAGTTGAATATCTAAAGCTAGTTTGGACAAGGATGACCTGTTTCTAATCTTTTATATGTAACTGTCCTAGGTTCAGTTATCAATTAAATTTTACATTAAAGCATATTTTTATTAGCTGATGTGCTTTTACTCAGCTGTTACTGGATGTAATTAATGAAGTAATTAGTTATCACATGCATTGTTTCTGTCACTAATAAAAGTTTAGATTGCTGAACAGAAAAGTCGACAACTGAATCATAAAAAAACATATATAACGACAAAAAAGAGCGTTTTTTTTTCAACGAAACCTTTATTCACTGGATATGCTAAAGCTTAAGTTTGGCACATAGTAAACTATATACGGACAATGCCTAGCAGTACGAGGTTATCACAACTGGCTATATGTAAAACTCTGGTATTGTAATACTCATTATGCTCGTAAGATATGACACTGACTTAATTTAGAAAGAAAGTACAACAATGCATAAGACCATCATTATTTTTTAAAAAATAACGAAACGTGCACAAAAAAAAGTCGTTCGTCACATGATAGACTACTTATTTTTTCTGTTGTATTCTAATATCATTCCTCATCCAGTTTTAAAATAAAGATTTAATGTGACAATTCCGAAATTACTATACAAATACATTTTCAAGGTACATACATATATTACATCATTTATGATTTTTGTAATTATGGTGGCACGTGGGTGTAGAAACCTATAACACTATACCATGTGGTTTCACACTTAAGATGAACAAAGCAGCAATCAAATGTCATAATAATTTTTATGTGTAAATTTTAACAAAATTTAAAAGAAATCCTGTAGCAAATCTATATTTGATATTTTAATACGATCCGTTTTTTTTTCATAATTATAGGTTTAATAACAGCACCTTTCGTGAAGAGTAAGATATTGTCTCCTTTCAACTTCATCTACACCAGCAACATTTCATATAAACCTCACTTGTGTCTCCTCGAACTTTTCTTCTCAAATCGTAAATAGCCATACTTGTTTTATAAATACTTGTGGATTTTTTGTATCCCTTCTACTGATCTTTATCACAAATAATGCCATTATGTGAAACAATAAAATTCTAGAATTCGATGACGAGGAACCCACTTTGACACTAATAATGGTTGGAGACGGCTTAAATGGGTAATGAAGAAAGACTTTAATATACGTTTAACATAACAGCAAAGGTACAACGTTTTGTCATCATCAGGTACCTAATGAACGGATATTGTTGCACGACTTAGAAGATATATCTTGGCACCCCAGGGTGTTGGTTTAGAGTAGGGTTGTTTTGTTCAATAAAGATGGATTCCTTGATTTTTCGTTTGTTTGTGTATGGTTCTTTGTTTAAAATTACCGTGTTTCTAATAGATATACTATGGTTTTTTAAGTTGCAATGTTGGAAAACATGAGATGGTTTTTTATCGTGTTCTGTGAATCTGGTTTCCAATTTTCTTCCAGTTTCTCCGATGTAGAATTCTGGGCAATTATTTCATATTATTTTGTAAATGACGTTGGTATTGTGCGATTTTAAGTAATTTTTGTTTAGTAACGATTTTAATTTAGGGCTGGGTTTTTGAGAGAATTTGACGTTGACAGGACTTTTGTTTAATGGCTAGTTTTGTCCAAGTGTGGATAATTCTTGAGCTGGTTTTAAGGACAAAAAGTAAACTGCAGTGTAATGTTCTGTTGTTGGGTTTGTTAGTATTAGTTTTTTCGTGAATTGAGTTTTGTTGTGGTGAATGTTGGAGAGTTTTTCAACAATAGTTGGTGAAAATTTGTTGGTGTGAATGAAGAAATGCTTTATGTGGTTAATTTCTTCATTTATGTAGTCCGTTAAACAGTCTTGTGGTTGTGTTTATGAGGTTTTTCAGTCTACTGAATTTTTTGTGTGGTGTCATGAGCGGAATTCCAGGAGATATAGAGGCCGGTGTGTGTGTGTTCTCACGGTGAATTTTGGTTTTAAACTGTGTGTCCGATCTAATAATGTTGAGGTTAAGAAAATATAACTGTTTATTGTTTTCGTTTTCTATGGTAAATTTGATGTTGGAATGTATGGAGTTTATGTGTTCAAAGAAAGTTAGTGTGTGTTCTGTAGAAATGAAACCAGCAAAAGTGTCATCGACATATCTGTACCAGTATAGTGGGGATGAAGTTCAGAATGTATGGCAGGTGTTTTGATTCGAGTCATAAATATATTGGCAAGAACGGACGAAACAGGATTGCCCATACTTAAACCATCTATTTGAAGGAAATTTTCGTTGTTGAAAATGAAGTTGGTTTTAGTTGTTGTAAATTATAAGAGAGAAGCAAAAAGTGCGCTAGGGATGTGGATTAACTTGTTGGAGTCATTGATGTACAGGTTGAGTGCGATATTGCAAGCTTCATTGGCGGGGACTTCGGTGAAGAGTGAGTGAAACATCAAAACGACGCTTTTAGAATTTAGTTGGTCTAGTGTATATTTGAAATTGAAGGCATCTTTAAGAAAATGAACCTGCAGGTGTTACATATGAAGTGAGAACCGATTCTATGTATTTACCAAGATTGTAGTTGAAGGAATCATATGTGGACAGTATAGGTCGTAGGAGACAGTCCTGTTTGTGTGGTTTAGGAATGCCATAGAGTTGTGGTGTACGTGAATAAGTTTTAGGTAGATAAAAATAAAGATCGTCAGATCGTACCTGATGATGACAAAACCTTGTCGAAACGTTGTACATTTGCTGTTGTGTTAAACTTATATTAAAGTTTTTCTTAATTACCCATTCAAGCTGTCTCCAAGCATTAAAATTCTAGAATGAAAATAAATACTCTTTGATCTTCCACAAGTTGAGATTTTATACTTTAAATGAGTAAACCTTTTAGGTGTGAAATTATGCTTGCACATTTTTTTTTAAATCACAGATTCCAGTTCTTTGTCATCAATATTAACGAGCCGTTATTGGCTTTTTCTTTGCGTACATATTTATGTACAATACAATCTTGTGGTGAAATGAAATAGATTGATTCACCTTTAGTATGTCCTAATGTTTAAAGAAATGTACCAGTGGTTTTATATTTCATTCAGTTATTAATAATATATAAATTTAGATGGTTAATTCAAGTTTTCTAGTTTTTTTACATAAATATCATAGGTTTTAAGTTACAACATTAACATTACTTTATCATCTTTTTATTTTCAATCCTAAAACCATAATAGTTTTTACTCTACAAGTATCGCCTATTAACTCTCTAAAAGTTTACATCTGAATCTCTAGCTACCTTATTGTTATCAGACTTTCATAGTCTAGCAATACTCAGCTTTTAATCTCAAACTTCTTTGCCAGTGGCATTTAGGCCCGAAACAAAACTACCACATCATTTTTCAACACTATAAACTCAGTTCAGCTATGTGGTTGCCGAAGTTCATGTTTAAACCCAAAGATGCACTTAATGTCTATGAACGCTCTAAAGCAAAACTAATTTTTTCCCCTCATAATCATTGTAATTGTTCACGAGGTAATGGTGGTGTTGATGTTCAATCTTAAAGCCAAGCACGTACAAGCAAAAACAATATCTAAGCTGATGAACTGTTAACATAATGCTTGTTTGTTTGTTGTTAAGTTCAAGGCTACACAATAGGCTGTGTTCTGCCCATTGCAAGTATCAAACCCACATTTTTAGCGTTACAAATTTTAAAACAATTTTGAGTGAATTAAGTCAAGTTACTTTGAAATAGAAAATTTCAGTTACTGTATATTTAAAAATACATTTTTCAAATACTTTTTCAGTTTCTACTACTTTCTTAACCAAACAGGTTCAAGTTAAAGAAACAATATGGAAAAGTTTAAACTATTTAAGTTATCTTGGCCTACTCACTTAGTTCAGGAAGTTTGCGTGCTGCCATCAGTAACCCTCCATAGGCACAAGTAAAAAGACTTATGAAGCCATATTTCAGGAGGTGAATGTATTATGTTGTAAATGCTTCTCTTAGGAATGAATGTATACACTAAACTTGGTGAAAACTCACCAAGTTTAGTGTATACACAGCTTTACCCTAGTTTCTTTTCACCAAGTTTAGTGTATACACAGCTTTACCCAAGTTTCTTTTCACCAAGTTTAGTGTATACACAGCTTTACTCTAGTTTCATGAAACTAGGGTAAAGCTGTGTATATATACTAAACTTGGTGAGAAGAAACTAGGGTAAAGCTGTGTATATACAAAACTTGGTGAGAAGAAACTATGGTAAAGCTGTGTATATATACTAAACTTGGTGAGAAGAAACTAGGGTAAAGCTGTGTATATATACTACCCTTGAGGAAAAGAAAATAGGGTAAAGCTGTGTATATACTACCCTTGAGGAAAAGAAAGTAGAGTAAAGCTGTATATACACTAAACTTGGTGAGAAGAAACTAGGGTAAAGCTGTGTATATACTAAACTTGGTGAGAAGAAACTAGGGTAAAGCTGTGTATATACTACCCTTGGGGAAAAGAAACCATAGTAAAGCTATGTATGCAAACACTATTTTGACCTCAATCATTAGTGAAAACCTGAAATATAATCTTAAACAGGTCATGAATTTGTCCTGAGGCAAAGAAACAATTTTTAAGTGATCAAAATATTTGTTCTGATGTTGGAATAGAGTAACAGCTCCTGGGAATAATGTTTTAAAACATCTCTCTAAACATCTAAGTGACACAAAGTTTAATTACAAGCTCAATTGCTTGCACTGTTTCTACACACACATTCAGAGCTATTCATAAACATCAATGAACACTCAAGTATATTTATTGTATACTAACTCATACCACTGTAATCACTGTCAAACATCAATAATAACTGATAATCATGCACCAATCTAGGCTCTGGCTTGGCCGCACTTGTAGGATACAGAAATAGAAGGTACCATTATAATCAGTTTCAATCTATACACTGATTGAATTTTTTTTTAGAATATCACAATTCACATTCTACAGCTCAAGATTCCAGATTACACCATCCACTCAGCTGTACACATACAGCTTTTACTTTTTTTTTACATTTAATATACAGCCTTATTCCTTAATTATGAAGAGATGGACTAGGTTAAAGAGACTAGGAGGACCTCCAGAGTCAACTGGACATAAGCATGAACTCACTAAGGCTTAGAGAATTATAGACTTCTTATAAAAAGCCTAGCTAGGCAAACCTTTTCCACATGTACACATATTATAAAACACTGCCTTTATTTGTTTTGTTATAGAAGGAGTTTATGGTTCAAAGAAAAGAATATCTTGATTATTAAATAGTATTTGACACTCAGCAGTAAGTGCTTAGATTCTGTGGAATTTCATTCCCTTGATCCACTATAGAGTCTGGGTGCAGGCGACTAACCACCTTTTCACCCTCCAGCACTGCCATGACAACATTATCTGGATGAACATGAAGCAGATCAGGAGTAGTAGTTGTCCATTCACCATGTTCTTGATCTGCATGTAGCTGCAGCTGTTCAAGAGGAACAACTGAGTTTAATAGTGTATCAAGAGTCTGAGAGTTGTAATATTTAGCACTAGATAGCCTATCACAATTCATCTTTTTAAGATTACTTCCATAAGCTCTATCTGCTCTGTGTTGCCGTGCCAATTCTGGGGTTGAAGTAAGAGAAAAATTTTCTCGCGATAGAGTTACTCCATAAACAGACTGGGCCAAAGGAGTACTCTGATACATCCCTGTATGAGAAGTGACCAACAAGGGGCGCTGGTCATACCCACTAGAAGACGAGTGTTGACTATGATCAGAGTGTTCTCCATAAAAGTCTGAACGAGTAGTATGATGACCAGCTTGAGGGTAATGATGGTAATCACCATAGAGAGATGATAATGTATCATTATCAATGGATTCATAGATGTGTTCAGGATAAGCACTGTATTTATCAGAAGAATCAGAATAATGGCGATGTTGTAAACGTTTATGTCTGTCTTGCAAGGAATAATGCCATGCTCCAATCCGAGGATTGGCTGTAAAACCATAAGATGCAGCATGATCAGAAGAGCTATTTCCACTTCTAGGAGCAGTTGAAGCAAATACTATCTTTGGTAACTGAGCATGATCTCGAATTTCTTTCTTCTGGAGAGATTCAGTAGCAGGACCTCTTTTCTCCAGGACTTTATCTTCCTGGTTGTTTGTGGTAGATGAGAGATCTACTAAAAAATAAATATGGATGAATTGACCTGATGTGAATGATCACAGATAAGTCTCAAAATGTAAAACTTACTAGTCATTCATATTTTCTTTTTATCAAGAATTATTGAAACTCTAAACAAGTTCAAAGCCTAAATAAAAACGTATTATTATCAATAATTATTATACACTGTTTTTAAAGCTAGCTGCATATAGTGTTATTACATCATTTGCAAAAATCTTAGTAAAATTACTTCAGTTGAATTAAATGATCAAACCATCAATGGAAACTTTGTCAACAGACTGATCATATACTGTAGAAGCCATATACATTTATATCTAGAAATTGCAGAAAGCCTAAGAATTAAAAGTTTAAGATAAGTCTACACACAAATGTATAATCAAATTAAAGATACTCGACCTCTGTGCCAGGATAAATAGCTGACTGAGATAAGATAATGAAACTCATTAAAACCAAAAGTGAATATTGTATCTATACATTTCGTTGGGGAGCATGACATCCGAGTTCTGATAAGAGAGGATATTAATTCTGACTGCCATACATGTTACACATATATGATCAGCCATAATGATAAATAAATTCAAGGTAAATGTAAGATATTTAACAACTTTCAATAAAACTTCATGCAATTTGGTAAAATAAAATTATGAAACCATCATATACTTGGATTCAGCATGACACAGATACTGGAGAAAAACATAAATCATAGAACATTACTAGACCTTTTACAGTAGTACACCATAAGTACAGCATTAAAAAAAAGAAAGTTATAAATACATTTGAGTATGTTTAGTAATTTCTTTAGAATCACAAACACATAAAATACACATTGTAGCTTTTGTATCCATTAATACAATATAGGATATGTAAGAATTGTAGAAGTTGTGTTTAAAACTAACAGATTGTGATTAAAAACCCTTAAGTAAATAGTTTAGATTTGATTTAATGATATCACTTGTGATTTGGTGATTGGTAACCCTCAATGAAGTCTTCACTGTGACCACACTGTCTGTAGAAAATGGCTATCAGTGACTGTTGCATTGTTGGTTGGAGTCATCATTGTGACTGTACTGTCCAGGGAGAATGGATGTCCAAATATCATCCACCTTTATGCAAAAGTCCCAGTTAAGCATGGGTTTTTATACGTTGATATTACACGAAACCTGACATTAGTAATCTGTAGAGCTAGTTGTTTTCAGAATGTTAAACTGATGTGTCTAGTTTTGTAAACTTCTTCAGCTAAGGTGAATTTTCCAAGTATAGTATTTTCATAGGTGTTTTATGTTCAGTAACTTTTTTTTTGTTAATTCTTTCAGTTTCCTCTAGAAACATATTGACAAAGGAGCACAATCGTTTCTTCTGTTCTTTGCTCGTTGGATATTTCACCAACTGTTCTCATGTCATTCTGTATTTGAAACAAGCTCAAAAAATGAACCTAAGTCCTGTGACACATTGTCTCTTTAATTTGATTTCAATTACATGTCTCTCTGACATTCTACTATACAATTCATGCATTTACACATTTGACTGAGTATGAGTAATTGAAAATGGTATTATCTACATTATACTACAAAATTTGTATATTTCCATGTTTGACTGATGTGTGTTGTTGAAGATGGTATTATCTATATTATACTAAACAATTTGTGTATTTCCATGTTTGACTGATATGTGTTGTTGAAAATGGTACTATTTACATTATACTAAACAATTTGTGTATTTCCATGTTTGACTGATGTGTGTAGTTGAAAATGGTACTACGTACATTATACTAAACAATTTGTGTATTTCCATGTTCGAATGATATGGGTAGTTTAAAATGGTACTATCTACATTAGACTACACAATTTGTGTAATTCCATGTTTGACTGACATGTGTTGTTAAAAATTGTTACAATCCTACATTATACTGCACAATTTGTGTATTTCCATGTTTGACTGATGTGTTGTTGAAAATGGTACTATCTACATTATACTACACAATGTGTATTTCCACGTTTGACTGATGTATGTTGTTGAAAATGGTACTAACTCGATTATACTAAAGAATTCACATATTTCCATGTTTAACTGATGTGTGTAGTTGAAAATGGTACTAACTACATTATATTAAAAATTCACATATTTCCATGTTTAACTGATGAGGTAAGGTGAAAAGAGCACTATCTGCTTATGTGGTTAGATTTATAATATAACATGATAGAAAAATATTAATTATCACAGCAAATGACAACACTTTGGACTTGCAGGACTTCTGTTTTCTATTATCTGCATCTTGGATTGGATGCTTAAAGTAAAAAAATATTAGATTTTCAAAAACTTCTCAAGTGCCTTCTGCTTATATGACCAGATTACAAAGGTATTGATAACTTAAAGTTTCCAAATTTTAGACAATAATGTAAAAACTCCAGAGTTTTGGTTTCAATACTCCCCATTAATGTTCCCTTTCTTTTATATTTGTACTGGGTAGACTACAAACTCCTCCAATAATGACTTCTCTGTCCATAGGCAGTTGAGGTTTCCATAATTTCCAGAAGCTTTTTACTCTTCAAAAAGAAACAACAATTTTATGAGTGGCTGTTGGCACCTATATTTCTAACTTTGTTTGTTTGTTTGTAATTAAGCACAAAGCTACACAATGGGCTCTGCTCTGCCCACCACAGGTATCGAAACCCGGATTCTAGCATTGTAAGTCCACAGACATACCACTGTGCCACTGGGGCCGTATTTCTAACTCACATTTGGACATGGTACTGTTCAAATTGTAGGCTCACGTCTTCCACACAGTTATTATCAACCGACTAATTTGTGAACAACATGTTAGTTTTTCGTATGTAGTATTTGCCAGGTCACTGCATGACCAGGCATATGTGCAGCTTAGAGAGAACAATGCACCTCATAAATATTTGACCCCTAACAATACAGAGTGAAGATATTAGGTAATGAGCTTTACCTTCAAAACATATTTGTTGCAATAGAAAAACCTTTTATGATTAAAAGCAAAAACTGATCAGAGAAAAAAAAGTCATTCTCATTATTTTTGCAGGGCTGCTTCACAGAAAATGTGGTAATTATGATGGTACTAAAGTTAAATAAACAGTTTTCTAGATGTATTTTTGGGTGTATGACGTATTCACAATAAACTTAATACACAGACAAGGTGGTCTGATAAATGTTGACAAGTAATGTTAACAGCATTGAATTTAGATCTGAGATGATTAATTTCCTCAATGTTTGTAGTTTGTTTATAACATGATAAAGAATGCTTAGTTAGTTATGGTTTGATAGACACAATACTGTTTATTTTTATGAATGAAGAGTATTCTTTGTTGTTGTTTTTGTGAGACTAATAAACTGTATTGTGTTGGTAATGTGAAAAAAACATATTCAGCACAAATTTAGATAAGTTAGCTTTGTACCTTATGTCAAGAAAAAACAGTAATACTATAAATATTAACAGTACCCACCACCTGCTTTTGTGAACTTTTGGGAGATAGTAAAGGTCTTGTCTTGCGAGTTCCATTGTTGGTTGGGGACCTAAAAATTAGATAAAAAAAATTAAGGATATCACTTTAATATGAAAATTTTTAACACAAAATGCTAACAAGAACTTAGAAAAGAAATGGATTTTAGTGAGGTTAAGTAACTCGAAACCAGAAGTATACCCCATGTTATTTGTTACTAAGCAAATAGAATGTATCCAGAAGTAGGAAAAAATAAGTGTAACAGAGTGTACTCCCCTGAAATCACATAGACACAATTTTTATATTAAATTTCATCTAAAGAACTTCTACCTAAGGGTTTTCTATGGCTTACCAATTTTAATTTCAATTTTTTTTTACTTTTGCTTTATTAAATTTCATCAAAGCCAAATGAACAAAACATTTGTTGCCAAATCTGGCTTAAATGATCTAAGAATTTTTGTTTCACAGTCACACATACACATCCATAATAAATCCTCTTTCTTGAATATAATTACAGCTAAACTGTAAGTATAAGCTGTTCTGCCTTGTATAACAAAAGAAATCTTGGTTACCACAAGGTTCTGGTTACTCTTCCCTAATGTGGATCTTCTTGGTAAAGGTGAAACCAACTTACACTGTCTCTTCTGATATTTATGCCAAACTACTTCCATTTCCCTAAAACAGCATAGTATTATTATATGTTCAAACAATCTTTGAAAATTGTAGCAAAAAAGGGATAGAGAGAGGAGGGGGGAGCAAGGAAAGTTGGGAACAGAAAGTAAGACGACCATGCATAGAGAAGATAATATGCTAGAAAGTAAACTTTTCTAATGGAAAAGAAATCAAGAAAAAATGAGTAAACAAACAAAAAAGGGTGCAAAAGTGCAGGTTTAATACCTGAAGATAAAGAACAAACAGAAGAGGAGGGCAGAGGTACAGAAGTACCCACACTGAGCTGAGGGGTGGTGGTTTGAGTCCTGGTAGTTGGAAGACTTGTTGACTGTCCTTGGTTCTTGGATTGTCTCAAGCTTTCTGGGAGCCATTTTAATCTCTGAAGATACACCTCCATTTCTTCTTTCATCTAGAACAGGGCAGAAAGATCTGTGAGGTGCTGTTTCATCACAATAGTTAATATATTAGTAGGTTTTAAATGAAAGAATGAATGTGTTTTATTGGTAATATAGCTGATCTCTTGAACATATTATAAGAAAAATAAAAACCCCAAAAAACAAGAAGCCACATTATTGAGGTTCAGGTAATAATCACATATAGTTGCAACTTAGTACAAGAACATGTCGCTATTGATTTGCATGCTTTAAATTGAAAGAGTAAGTAAAAATAAATTAAGCTTTAGGAACTCAGATACAAAAGATCTCCCACAAAACTGTACAATATACTCATGTATCTTCAGTCCTCCGTGCATATTAGATGTTAAATTTGGGGGAAAGAGTAATTTCTGAAACATTAAACCTTTTTTTTTTTTATGTTTCAACAATAACTTTTTGTTGATTATTATAACTAAACTACAGCTAAAAGACTGATGGTGCAAGTAACAATGTGTATTTTAATATTACCTTTTCATTTTTGATGCAGTAGAATATGAAAATAAGAATTCCCATAACACAGTTGAATACACAGAAGATATAGGCTAAGATGTGTCTAGACTGGGATATATACAATAGCCCTGCTGTCCATGTAGAGCTTAAAGACACAAGTACTATACTGGCCCATCTTATCCATATCCTGTAATAGTTAAAAAGAAAAAAGGTATCTGTTAGATATACACACTATTTAAGTTTAATGTGAGTGTTATGATTTAGATGGCTTAAGTACAGTGAGTGTTAAAGTTAGATATTTTTAGAAGTGATAGTTTATCATAGGTTTGTTTACATAACTGTTTTCGAATCATATGTTGTGCAGTTCAATTGTTGTGAATTGGAAATTGTTATTTTATTGCATCATGTTACTAGAACCTTCTAAGTTTTTTTCATTGTTTAAGTTGAGTATTATTGCATCATAATATCTCGTAAGGTGTGGAACATTCTAGGCCTCTATCAGGTTATGCGTCCAAAATGTAGTTCGAGTTAATTATACAGATTGAGACTGAGTGATCGTGAATTTAGCCATAAAGATTATACAGTGGCAACTTTTAAAGTGAAATTATCTGAGATTTTATTGTAATAACAGAGAAGAGAAGAAATATTTTGTCTTCTCAATTGTATTCTAAAGTAACTGAACCAGTCTGTGTGGGCTTTGACAAAAAAGTGACAATTATTTAACTCTAGATACAACTCTGATAATCGACAGTCTAACAAACATTTGTGTGTGTGTGTGTGTATCTATATATATATATTTGAATTGATTTAATATACTATTTTAAAATAATGCTGTTTGCTGTTTGTTTATTGTTGAAATTTATCACCAACAGGTCAGAGACACCTACAGTAAAGAATCTGGCACATACATAAAAACTGACAGTATCTAAAAGTATCTAGGAAAAATATATTAATGTAACTATCATCATTTTTCCAGGAATGGCCAAGTTTTTTTAAGTCTAAGTTAGTTTAATGTTGCACAATATGTATAATCATTTTTTTTAAAAATCATCTTTTCTTTGTTTCATTTATTTTCTTTACTCATACATTCTAGAACAGACTCCCTTCCATAAGAGTTGCCCAAGTTTTTGGTTTACTTTTTTGTCATTATTCCTTTATAGTCTTTAATACTTTCTTGCCAAGAAAGACTAAACCATTTTCTTCAATATAATTACACTTTACTTTTTCTGTTCTAGAAATATTTGTCAATGGACAATGGAAGGAATTGAATCACTTTTACATCAAAAGTTGTAATTTTTACAAACTGACCATTATTAAAATAGACACTGGCTACAGAATGATTATATCCTCAATTCTAAAAATGAAACTATTTGAAACCTCTAGTAACAAGAAAGACTGAGCTTAATTTTAATATCACTACACACAAACAATGGTTAAGTGAAGGAACTCAGAATGAAAATTTAAAATAACAATCAACTATGTCTTATTATTTATGGTCTCATGCATTAATATAAAAAAGTGTATTCTCAAAATCAACTTAATTAGAATTACAAAAGACATACTTAATTTTTGAAAGTTTTGTCTCTTCTTTCCCTTTTACCATGGTTTTAATTCCAGAATGATGACAAAGAATGCAAGTGGCTATACACAAGAACACGGCACTCCCCTTCAAACAAAAAAAACAAACAATTAATGTTTCAAACTGCATTATCACTATTCAAGCTACTTAAAATTGGTACATAAAACGAGTATTCCTTTTGAAGTAGAAGGGAATGTATAATGTTTTTAACCATTTACCTATTAATAAACTTTTGCAAAATAAATAACTCTGGGCTTAGAACTATCTGAGTTACTAAAACTTATGAATATCGGGACAAAAACTAAAGGTAAGATAAATGAATTATGTAAAATAATTATTCACCTATGAATTATTTAAGAAAATGTTTAGAGTGATGAACTGATAAGATCAGCAGTTGAACTTTGATTATATACAAAAAAAAAACTAAGCAGAATTATTTCAATATAATAATAATAAAAAAGTTACATTTTGAGAACAAATACTCCCCCACTTGAATTATTTTCTAGGCTGACAATAAATTTGTTAAACAATTCTTCCAAAATCTCATTACTAAATTACAAATTCTATAGGATACTGCATGTTTCAACACCTAGAAAAATCCCTCAAAAACAATGTGTAGTGAATTGAGTTCTGGAAAAAAAAAGTTATCTAAACATCAGAAGTTGTTTTATGGAAAACATCCATTTTTTTATTCTTTTTAGCTATTTATGTAAACACTTGCAGGTTTGGTTAGTGACTTCAAGGGGTTAACTCATCTTTTATGAATTTTTAATTTCTCAAAGTAAAATTCACATTTACGAGTATTTTCTTGTTCTAGCATTTTATATACAGTCATTACAATAGTAGATAACATTAAAATATTATGTAAAGAATGTTACTAAACTATTGCTAGAACAATATTTTCATGGATTTCCTTACATAAAAGTTTGTATGACCTCAAATAAAACCTTTCACACTGTAACTTAGTCAAATCAATATACACATATACATATTAAAATTTTTTATTTATAAATACTGTACTTAAAGACACAAGTGCAATGTATATTTTTAGACATTTCCTCTGATAACATGGATCCTTTCTATAGGGTAATGACAACTAAAAAACAAATACCAGTTTGAGCTCATAATATTGTGATACAATCAAGATAATTAGAATGTTAAAATCCAACACACGTATATATATATATATCTACACTGTTCATAATTTTATGACTGTCTTCTGCAAAGATGGGAAGGGGGGAACTAGACTGAGATTAGATGGTAAAAATTGATACAATTCCACATATTGCAAGAAATTCTATTGCAATATGTACGACTAAGCAAGAGTGAACACACATGTAATTACTTTTTAAACACAAACATAATTTGTATCATTCAAACAGTCGGAAACCACTGCTAATAAAGCTTCTCGATTCATGGATGATTGAAGTTTTGAACATCTCAGAGAGTTAAACAGAGGTAGACACGTGGGAGACCACAATGTAAATGTACAGTTAATGTTAAACAGTGGAACATGAATATCAAACAGACCTGGTTTGATAAACTTTCAAGGTATGAATTTTATTTTATAGATCAAAAAGTAAAATTAAATAACTCTTAATACAGTATGATTTGTATAATAGGTAATGACCAAACTGGATAGGAAGCACCTCAAGAGTGTGTATATAAATGATAATTTAATATGTCATGGACAGTTCAGTGAATACTGCTTTTTCATAATATGGTGAGACACCTCCGATCTACTGGACTTAATAAAACAAACCCAACATTTATGCATTATTTTCAACTTGATTCTCTAATTCTTTTCATAGTTCTTAGTTGTCTTTACTACACATTATACACAAAAGGTGTGTCAAGACATTCAATACAATTCTTCAAAATTGTACACCTTTTTAAAAATGATGAAAATGGCCAAAGGAAAACAGTAAAAAGACAGGATGCAAGCATAGCTATAAAAATATTTACTTGTAACCCTGCTATACATCTGTGGAACAAGTTAGATGTACCTCTGAAAGTATCTTTCATTACTTTGAATTCTATCATTAAAAAACAGAACAGTGTCATCGTCATAGTTAATAATCTATATAATCACCTAAGTCTAAATTTCTAATTAGTTACTAATTTTAGTTATTTTTTATTTATTAGATACTAACTAGTTTATATATTTTACACATTTTGGTTACTATTATGCTGCCATCTTCAGAAAAGTCATGAAAAGAATGCATGTGGTAGCAGGAGCTGGGATCAATATTGAGTGTTTTTCTAACAAGATGACCCAAGACTCACTCCTGCCACCATAAAAAGTCAATCACGGGACTTCCATGATGTCAGCAACAGGCCAGCAGCCAAGACATAAGATAAAAGGAAGGTATTGGTCAAGATGTACAATTTGCATGTAGAGTTGGTAGGTAGGAAGAGAAACTGGAGGTAGAGGTAATGGATAAAGAGAAGGCTGAACTATGAGAAATAGCAACAAGATACAATGGTTAATGATTTTGAGCAAAGGCATCACTAGATACTTAAAATATGTATGATATTGATCATGGTTTTTCTATTCTGATTTTTCAAGACACTAACTATGAATTTGGGCACTGTCAAATAGAATCTGGACACAGGCCCCATGTACCAGTGCCTAGAAATGCCTCTGATTTTAAAGAAGTTAAAAACAGTACAACAGGGGTAGTAGTACTGGATTTAGTTATAATAAGCAGGTTCTAATAAATAAAAGATTTTAGCCATTAGTTTGTGCAGATGAGGAACTAAGGAGAGAAAGATAACAAGGAACAGATAGAGATGGGAAGGGAAAACGTATGGAAATTATTGCTACAGGGGATTCTTTAGTATGGCACATAGATAGGAATAGTATGTGGGGTGAATATGAAGAAAATGATTAGATTACACTATTCAAGAGCAAGGATAAAGAATATAACTGACAGAGCAAGTGATATAGTAAAGGGTGCTAGAAGTGATGCAGTCTTTGTGGTGCACATGGGGGTTAATGAAGTAGGGAAGGGTAGGTTACAGGAGCTAATTGTTAAATAAAAGACATTTAGAGAAAGGAGCCATAATAAGTTCACTCTGTTAGGGATACTGCCAAGACCTAACTGTGGGGATGAAATTATAAGCAGATCACTAGGGCTGAATGTAAGACTTAGGTTAATGTGCAAGGACGAGCAGTTTGGCTGGATGGATTTGTAGGATCAGTTTAATGAGGAAGAGGTCTTTTGGAGTGAATGGTTTACATCTAAATATGGTAGGGATTGGCTTGTTTGCAAGGGATATCAACTCAACTGTAAGGGCACTACTGGTTGGAACAAAGGATTTTGATGAAAGGAATATATATGAAATACAGGATTATAAACTGCTTAATAGGAATAGAGTACTAAAGAGAGGGAGGAATGACTTTATGTATAAAATGTGAGTTATATCCTGTTCAAGTTTAGGATATAAAAGCTAATAGCAATGAGGTTGAATATGGCTGGATTTCTGTTAATGGTTATAAGGGGAGAAGACTTTAGGTTGGAATTTATTATAGACTACCAGATGAAACTGATGTGATTAATGGGACCTTCTACACTGAGATAAATAATTTAGCTGTTAATGAGGTTATAATTATGGGAGATTTTAATTTCAGGCACATACACTATGAAATGTGTGAAGCAAGTCATGGAAGGAGTCGGGTTTTAGAAATTGTTTAGGATGTTTTCTTCACCAGCTGGTGAATTGGGCAATTGAATTAAATAAAAATGTTGATCAAATGTGGAAAAAATTTTAAATTCTTAAATGTTCACAACATGCATGTTCCTTATAGAAAAAGTGGGTGGTTGGAAGTAAAAAACTAGATTGGCTAGCAAAGGGTATAAATGATAAAATTTAAAAAAAGCATTATAAATATAAGAAATTTATATTGACTACAATGATTGGAGATTTGGATGATTATAATAAATCAAGAGAGTTGTTCAAAAAGGAAATTGAAAAATAAAAAGGATAAGAAAAAAGGTTGGCTGAAAATGTAAATATTAATGGTAAGGATTTCTTGAAATACATTAAGGGTAAGCAAAATGTTAGGATGGGTGTAAGGCCTTTGAAGTATGATATAGAAATACTAATGTTCCTAGTGTCTGATGATTATGGAATGACTGTGTTTTTAAATTCTACTTTTTATTCAATTTTTACTAACAAAGATTTAAGCAAACTCCTAATCCTGAACAGTTGCTACATGGAAAAGTAACTGAACAATATGATCACAATAACTCTGAGCTTAAGAAAATAACTGTGAAGTTTGAAGAATTATAAGGCTCCTGGGCTGGATATTTCCCCAAGGGATTTGAAGGAGGTTAAGGAATTGGATACTTGTCGCTATTTTTTGAAAGTCCTTGATGGGTGCCAGAAATTTCAAGTTGGCTAAGGTCACTCCTCTTTCCGATGGAGATAACAAAAATTGTCTCCGTTTATTTTGCTTTGCAAATTCATTTAATAAGTGTTTAATTTTTTTTGGATAATCAGCATGGTTTCATTAGGTTACTGCTTATGTAGATAAGGTGTACTAGTGTGGATTTGATGTATCTAGATTTTCATAAAACATTTGATAAGGTATCAGATATACAAGGCTTATTAAAAAAACGTTGTCTCTATAGGTGTGGAAGACAGGTTGGCTCATTGGATAGAAAACTTGCTGGATGGAATACAGCAAAGGTTGTTATAAATGGAGTTCAGTCAAGCTGGATTGATGTTACAAGTGGGGTACCTTAGGCTTCAGTCTTAGGATCTTCGCTCTTCTAACTTACAATAATGACATAGATGAAGGAATGGTCAATGAATTACTTAAATTTGCTGTTGATACTAAAGTTTAGGGTGTTACTAGCTGTGAGGATGATGCTGAGACTTTACTAAAGAATTTGGATTATTTGATGAGTTGGATGAGTAAATGTCAGTTGGCTTTTAATAAATGCAAGATAATGCATGTGAAATATCAATTAGAATTATGAGTATAATCTTAATATTGTTAATGAAAAAATATATTGGTGTTCTGGTTGATCTGTCTTTTAAGCCATCCAAGCAATGTACTGTTGCTAATGGAAGAGAAGGCAGGATTTTAGGTTGTATCTACACAAATACTGAATACAAATCTAAAGAGGTTATAATGCCATTCTATAGGTTATTGGTTACACCACACTGTGTTTAGGCTTGGAATCCTTAGAATTTTTGGAAAGGGTTCAGAGCTGGAAAGGTTGTTATATGAGGAAAAATTAAGATCTCTGAAATCATTTTCATTTGAAAAAAAGAAGTTAGAGGGGATCTAACTGAGGTGTTTAAGATTGTAAAGGGAGATAATAGTGTAATAGGGAAGATCAAGGAAGAGTCACACATAGCATTAATTACTATTCCCATCAGTAAGCCAAGTATATACATAAGCCTGATATGGCTCCCGGTATTATGAAAAAAACTGAGAGAAACAATAGAGGTACTTCCAAAACATATCAAAAAGTGTTCTCCTGATAGCCAAGTGGCTAGAGTGTCTGTAATTGGAATCACAGGGTAATTACACAAAAAGCTTTCTGGTTGTGACACATAAAAAAAAATGTCTGATATAACACCTTAAGACAGCCAGAGAATTTACTGGTCAAAATGTTGTGAAAATAATAATACACATAATAAAGATGAGAACAATAGTCCAAATAATTATACCATTAGAATTACTAACACCTCATCACAATCATTCTGCAAAACTATAACATTTATTGTACCTGTTGAAATGTTGTAACCATAGGAATTATACTTGTATATCCAACTATAAATAAGTTAAATATAGAACATAATTTTACAGCTTCATTATGCAAGATACATTTCTACACTGTTAGATACCCATAAATCATTGATTCAAGTTTGATACTGAAGAGGACATCCACTACATGTAATATTACTTTATTTATTGTAACAATGACAATGGACGAAAATTCAATTGAAAGATACAGTAACCTGCTAAATGCACACATTTACCATATGTACACATACAAATTAAGATCAACTAATTACAGTGTACTGCAATTTACCATGTACAGGGAACACAAACTTTTAATACCTAATTACTTATGGTTATTTTAATACTTACAAAAAGTATTCCTACTGCTGGGCCCACAAAGCTGAAAATAAAATAGTTGTCTGTCCGCAGCCAACAAAAATCTCTTGTACCATAGCTGTATGGATCCACAATGGCTGAAACTGCCACAATCACTATAGGAGCTCCATAAGCTAAACCATGATACCAGATAGCTCTGGATTTCTCAGACTCATACACTTCAATAAGTAGAACATAGAGGTGAAAACCCTCAACAAATACCCATGCAAACACTGCCAGTAGAAAGTAGTGTAACAGCCCAGCTACAACTCCACAAAGAACCCTGATGTGGGTCTGACCAACTCCAGCTGCAAATATCAGCTCAGCTCCCAGGAGGCAAATGCAGAGATTCTTATGAATAGTTACTGTATCTGTTTGAAGACTTCTGGAATATAAATAATGAAATAACATTTTAAGTAAAACATTTCTAATTACATTACACAAAGCATATAGAATAATTAATGATATAGACACACAAATGACATATTATTGACAAATAAAACTATTCACTAAATCATGTACTGTGCCAGGTGACAAAAACTAAATATGCCGGGTAACCAAATGCTGCTTACATTAGTTAGATTTACATCACAATTACAAAAGTTACCGACCTTACATTGGAAAATCTATCAGATAACTGAACCTGAAAACTTATGTATATTCTTTTTTATATTTTATTTCTACATCAGTAGCACTTCTAATAGTCAATAGTCTGATTATATCAGCTTTGTTTAAATATTAAGGACATGGGAATATTGTTCAGATATTCAAAATGATCTAAAATTTTCATATTTTATTATGTAAATAAATTATATCTAATATCAAAAAATCAAATATATAAATTGCAGAGAAATACTTTTACTTACTTTGTGACATGGAGAGCTAGGATGGTTGTCAGTAAAAAAAGACAACATAAAGCACAACTGACAGAAGTCAAGATTTCTAAGAGTCTGTTTTTCCATTGGATAATCTTGGGATGAAAAAGAAAAAAATACTATTGCAAAATAGCACTGACACCATAAATTATAAAGAAGCCTGGATATTAGCTGTCTTAAATACATACACGTATGTATGTATGTTCCAATTAGTAGTGATTCAAAAAATATTAATGCAACTTAATAGGTGGGAACAGAAGTTACACTAAAGTCAAGTATTACACACATCTTAATGTGTGATGGTATACAACATACCAATGTCAAGAATTATATATATATATATTTTAATGAATGATGGTGAATGTCAGACTAATTTCAAGAATAAGACACATCTTAATGTGTAATGACAGAATTCATACTTTTGTTCTTGTTGGAGTTCTTTGGTAAAAAGCCATATACATTGTCTGTGTCAAAAAAATGGTTAAATCGAATTACCATTCTTTATCTTTTTGTTTTTTTCATAAACCAACAGGTACAACAAAAAGATTAAAAAGATAAAGATGTACAAGATAACAAAATGCCAAACAGAATTTTTTTTTATATTAGGTAAAAATATTAAATACAATTAAAAAGGTATAAGGCCAATAAAAACTAAAAACATGTCCAATTTAGACAGTGTAATCGCTGCCAGTGACACTACCTCATATTAAATGGACACCATGAGTAAAACATATCTGAAATGGTACAGTTGCTGATCAACATAGTGTCAGCATGAAATTAATAGGTAGGCAGTTTTAATTTCAGTGTCACAATTCTCACACGTTGGTGGATAATATAATTGTGAGAGAAAACAATGCATAATAAAACAGTGGCCAATAACGGAACTTGCAAGGACAACACCTTCCCTCTAATTCCTGCACAAACTATATGGTCAATAAATGATAGTAGCTTGTTTAGACATTGTTCATCCCAAATTGCCTGCCATGACAGACCTAAAATTCACGTAAAGAATATGAAAAGTTATTATGTTGGCAATGGAAGCCAATTTGATCATGGTATCAGCAAGCTCATTCTGACATGATTATAAATCCTGAAACACTAGATAGAGATAGATGATAGTAAGAAATGGTCTTTTTTGAATATCCAAAAGACCTGAGTAAGAACTTGAGAACTGATGTTAAGTGATTACAGAACATTTAAATGCAAAATGAGTCATTAAAGAGGGTAAAATTAGTGAACTACAGAAGGGATCCTGCAAGCAAAAACAGAACTGCAGGAAAACATGGCAGAGTTTACAGTCACTTGAGTTTGCAACATTTATAAAATTTGTAACTAAAAGGTAGCCTGAATGGTCTTCATTAAATAGAAGTCATGTAATTCTAGTCGAAACTACCTGATTTTTAAGGGAACTCAAAGAAATATCACTAGTAGGGATGCTAACAAGCTATGGAGGAATGGGCTAATCATCAGATTCAGCAATGTGAACCAATATTTTATTCACATTTAAGACAAATCTAACCAGTTAAGAAAGAGAAAGACTGAATAGCAAACTGTATCTGCAAAAAGCAGAGCCTACTGAGGCATGAAAACACAATGTCAGGTGAAGTGTCAATGCTGTGACCACAATTTTTACAGTGTACTGCAAAAAAAGTTGTAAACATAAGATGTGAATTGAAGGTTCATAGAGCTCTGTGAAAACCCAGGGTGGGAAAAGTGTGGAAAGCCCTTGTGCAGAGCCAAAAACCTTGATCGTGATAAGCAGGGTAGGCAATGTATATACCATAGAGTAATAGCTCAGCTTTAATTGAATAATGGCACAATACATTTTGAGCATAGGACACTGAAACTGTTACATATAAATTGGTTAGAAGGTATTACGTTGTGCTGATGTTAGAAGGTTCCAAACAGGCACAAGGTCAAGGGTGGGAGGGAATCGAGGGGATAAGGAAATGGGTTGCAGAACTTTTCAGAAATCTGCATTGCTTGATAATAATAAATCAAACAACAAACCCAATCACATTCCTCCCATTGACCCATGCAAAAATATTCTTTTCTTAAAATTTCATTTTTTCTAAAAATAATGACTAAATAGTAGTTTCACAAAACAAAATAGTTAAATATTAATTAATAATTTATATTTGACTAATAATAACTATTTCTATACTAATCTGAAAACATTTTCATGACCAAATCCATTATGGGTGATAATAGAAATTTTACTATGCAAGTTATAATAATGCTGTTAATTAAGTCTGAATTATTCCTATACATCAAAATTTTTAAAAGTTCTAATATTTCCATGGATCTGTACTGAATAATTATATTAGTATTGTAACCACAGTTTCAAAAACTTTGTAGCAATGTTTTCAGTTAAAACATTTGGGTTTCAATTCAAATGTATAGGTTTTTTTAGCTATTCTGACCAAAAGTAAAAAACAATGGATGAAAACGTAAATATAGGTCGTTTATAGGTATTAAAGATATTTGTAGGGGAGGAACTGAAAAAATACAGGCTGTCTAGCCAAGGGATTGATAAAAAAATAGTGCAAATGCTGTTTAATACTTTGTAATAATTTTTACTAGTGAACTGTGTATAAATGTAATTAAATCCTTCAAATATTTATGATTTTTCTGCAGACTGTGTAATCATATTATGAGTGAGTTTGAATCAAATGTTGATAAATGTGTCACTTCTACATTAATTGCATTCTGCAAGCATAATGTTTAATGGAGGAGATAACAGTAGACCAGGCAAATTAGTCAGATATATTTTGTTCTCATAAAACTTCCAAGATTCATCAATACAATAAAACCGCAACAACATGAATTGTTTGCAACACCTGATTAATAATAATTAGTAGTAAACATATTAATATGTTTTGTGCCCATAAAAAATCTATGTCTTTCTGTTTTGAAAGTCGAAGAAATTTGAAAAGGGTGCCATCCTCTTTGCCATATTTGCAATCACCATCAAAATAATGCATAGCATACCCTGTAGGAATTTATAAATGCTCCTGTGATTGTGATATATGACGTTCTATAAAAAACGTTTTACAGGGAAATTTAAAAAGGAATTTACACAAAATAAAATTGTAAGAACTTAACCACTCAGTAACTGCATGAATTAAAAAATGGGTAAAACATAATATTTAGGGACAATTAAGGACCAAATGATCCATCTAGACTGTCCCGTCCACTGAACTAAACTAAAATTACTAAAAACTCTCAAAGCCAGCCCTTACCATTCATATATTTATCAAGTCTTCCATTAAACTCCCTTAAATTTACTGTCTCCATTAAAACCAAAGGCAATCCATTCCAAAGACCAACCATCTTGTAAGAAAAATAAAACTGTCTTCAGCCAAAGATCGCTCCTACCCTGCCAAAATTTATATTTTTGCCCCCTAGTCCTCCCATTTTTACCATTAAGTATGAAAAAAGGTGATGCATCAACACTATAATTTCCTTAACAATTTTAAACACCTCAATCAGATACTCTGTAACTCTTCTTTTTGTTTTAGGAAAAAAAAAAAAGAAAAGATCATTTAAGAGATCTTTACCTCTTCTCATATGACACCTTTCCATCCCACACATCATCCTAGTAGCCCTCCTCTGGACTCTTTTCAATAATTCAATGTCCTTCCTAAGGTAAAGAGCCCAAGACTGAACACACTATTCCAAATGTGGCTTAACCAGTGACCTATACAATGAAATTATAACCTCTCTAGACTTTCATTCGATATTTCTGTAGATACAATCTAAAATCCTATTTGCTCTAACACTAGCAACAGCATACTAATTGGACGGCTTAAGAAAATGATCAACCATTACACCAAGATCCTTTTCTTTCATAACACTTGTTAAGGTTATTCCCTTCCATTTATAATTAAAACCCATATGCCATTTATTTACCCAACTCACTAAATGGTCTAAATCCTTTTGTAAAACAGCATCCTCCTCACAGCCAGCATCACCCAAGACCTTAATATAATCAGCAAACTTAAGTAGTTTATTGACCATTCCTTTGGCTATGTCATTGATTTAAATAAAAAAGAACAAAGTTCGTAACACTGAGCACTGAGATACTTCAATTGTGACATTAATCCAGTTTGACTGAATTCCATTTATAACAACCTTCTGCTTTCTTCCATCCAGCCACTTTTTTATCCAATTAACCAACTTATCCACCATATAGAGATAATTTTTTTTTCACAAGCTTTTTATATGACACCTTGTTAAATGCTATTTGAAAATACAGATACACCAAATATACACTCATACAGGCTCATTTTTTGTTTTTACTCATTGGTACACCCACCTGCTCCCCAAGCAGTTGAAGAGAGGACTCGAGGAAACTGTTTAGTTGTTTTATGCATGAAATAAAAGTTAGCTTACAGTGAAAGAGAATTCTTAGTCTTAAAAAGTTTCTTTGAACCATGAAAATAATTTACACACCTTGATGTTGGCAGCAGAAATGCAGACAAAAAGTTTTAGACTACAGAAATTTTAAACCCTTGACTCCACTCACTTAGTTTATTGAGGGTTGTGTGAAGGTGCTATTTAATGTGCCTCATATTCAATGACTGACAAGAAATTTGAAAGACATCAACATTAATGCTGTAGAAGGATGTTGTTCAGTGATCTTAATGTTAATATGTGTGACACATAAAACAGTCTTGAGGTTCTCAAAATTCCTTTGAGATAGAACAAGATACTGTTGATCCTTCATGGACCAGTAATGGCTTCTCTCCACAAAAATTACAGAAAAGTGGGCAAATGTCACACAACCCACAAGTTTATAGGTCTTGTAACATATCAAACCTTCACACAGAATCATACTTTTTCAAAATCTCATACTCCATTTAATTTGACTTAACACTAACCATGGATGCCTGTCTCAAGAGGAAGCATCTTGTTTTAATCCCATGGTTGATCAGTAGCACATGTTATTTCATTATGGGAAATAAACTTCTTTTATGTTAACCATTCTTTTTGCAACTTTTCAGAGAAAACTAGTCAAAGCAAAAGGTCTATAATTAGAACAAACCTTGGGATCATTCCCAGACTTAGTAAAATGGATGAAACTACTCCAATGCCACAAGTATGGAAACTTCCTCCTTATGCCAAATCCAGTTAAAAGAACCAAATGAAAACCAAAGTTGAGGTAGGGTAGAGATGGCACTGTACTTATAATGGATTCCACCCAGTTTGACTGATATATTGCTGAACCAAAGTACAGAATGTATTGGTTTAACTAGAATGAATAGTTGATTCTATTAAAAATGACAATCAGGCTAGAAAGGTGTTCTTTAGGCCTGTCATAATGGCTAAGAAGGCAGAAAACAGGTGGTGAGGTGATTGTGTTATAGGAGAAGAACTCTCTAAGGGTATTTGCAATACCCTGTAAATTACCAACTTCTTAGTCATAATGTTGCTAGATTGAAAGGGGATGGGATCTAAATTTACCATTCATCTTTCAAATCTTATCCCAAACTATCTCGGAGCTGGAAAAGAAAGTGAATTTAATCGAAGATTCCTTCTGGTTTTGACATCCAATCCACTGTAAGGCTACATGGTTGGTAAGAGTGGATTAACTGTGAAAGAATATCAAAGGCTTGTTTCTGAACCCTCCTTGCCCTTTGGCAGTCAGGTGTCCACTATAAACAGAGGTACCATGAAAAATGTATCAAAGTTTTAGAGATGGTAAGTTCGGCTCCTTGGATAATATGAGTAGGTGAACAATGGCAGGATCAAACTCTGAGAATGTGTGAAGGAGGTTTAGTTAACTCTATCAACATGGGCTCAGTCAATTTGACCAACCATGTGATCTCTCTGTACTCATTTAAAAGTCTTTATAGTTTTGACTATACTAATTTTTAATATTGTAAGTATATCTTCACAAAATATTGCACACTTTCTGTAAACATTGTAAGTCTTTCACATATAAAACATCATATTCTTTAGTGAAGTATTTTTAATATAAACTAAAAAAGATTTGTCCATGAATATATTGAGTTTTTTTTTTGCTAGTCCATGTGCAAAATAATTTTCATGTTAAGATTAAAAATACTTTTCTTCATTTCAAAACTCTCAAATTTCATTTGCGTAATTCTTAAAACTTCCTAAGTACATTTCAAATGTTTGTTTCCAGTAAAATTTTATATTTTATATGTTATTTTCTCTACCCTAACTCTATAAAAAATTGAAATAAATCTAAATTACACTTTTTTATTTCTATAATGACTTCAAATTGTAACATGAAACTACATTCCTTTAATTTAAGTAGCATTAAACTCGTAACAATATACATCCATTTATACTTAAATTTTATTGTTTTATTACCCTCTGATTGCTTTTTGAACAATGTCTAACTACTACTATTCATGCCATTATAATTTGTAAATCACTTGAGGAACATGGAGCTCATGTTACACTATCAAACTACATTACCCACGAGCTACTCTGAGCTGCTCACATGCATGCCTCATAAAACATTTTTATTATATTATCATTACTTTTTTTACCTAATCTAGCCTTAACTAATCTAAAGAGATCCCAGTTTTTACATTTGAATAACTTTTATTGCAATAAATAATGAATAAATATGAAAAACAAGAAATAAAGTACTTACCCGGGTCTTCTTTATTGTTGATGTCAGCGACATTTAACCCTACTTTTTTTTTATACTAATGGTAGTAATGCACTAAATACTTTTTATATAATTAAATAATGAATCAAAGAACATACAATAACAACATGCAAAAAAGCCGACAATTTCCCATAACTATCACAGTTTTTCTGGCTTTCTAACTATTTGACAAGAGCCATTACAAGTTTATCCAAACTATTCGTTATCTTTCCTATGGAAACAAAGCTTATAGTAACAGAGAAAATGACAATTCTCTGTTCAGAAAACAACATAATATAATACGTCATTTGATAGATGAAAAACCTTGGCTTTCTATTGGTTATACATAATATAGAATTAAGAGTAACAGAGAACTATTAACAAATCCTTAAAGAGAGGATGTGACAGGTGGGTATGGCAAGAGGGGTCTGATTTTCTATTTGGTGGCTCTGTAAGTTTGAAGGCTATAAAAATTATGGTTGTCTGAGCAATGATGATTTTATAGTGAGTAATTTACATTCAATTTCATACTTATTGGAGGGGTGGAGAATAAAATAGAGAAGAGTAGAAATTTAGGATTTTATTTTGTTTAATATTGCCTTATATACTATTAAAATATGGCTTATTAGCCACAAATTTATGCTATATTAATTGGTATAAAATAAACAAAAAATAGTTTAATTAAATTTTGAAATGTAAGTCACTAAATCCTTGTGACACAGGCAGTAAAAGATACAAGTGGCAATAGCGTTAAGGAGCTTCAGATTCCACCATGGCAAGTGAGTCAGGTGGAATTTACTATGACCAATATTCCTCAAAATTACTGGAAAATAATCAGTTCCTCATGGGTTCAACTCCCAAGAAAAGGGATCAGATGAAAAGGGAGATTAATGGCAGTAAACTCTTTGTCAGGACATAGAAATAGGTCTATTCTTCAATACTGAAGATAGATAGGTTGTGATACACAAGAAAACACTCCACAAACTGACTCCTCCAATAATAGCTTCAACCATCCCAGAGTAGACTGGTTCCATACAAGTCTCCAGTATTGTACATATATAGGTTGTGGTACAAGAGCAAACACTCCACACACTGACCTCTTCTATCATTATCTTTACCATACCAGAGTATATCAATTAAATTTAAGTCTCCCAAAATGATGAAGGGAGATGGCAAGTGCTAAATAAGAGCATTAAGGTCTGCTTTATCAAAAATTTCTCCTTTTACAGGTAAAGAGAGCATAGTGTAATGGTGTAACTAATGCAGACATTAATGTCAATAGCCTCCAAAGCTGAAGTGAGTGATATAGTCATGTTTCAAATATCCTGGTAAACCAGCAGTGCTACCTCCTCCTCCTCCATGTATCCATCAGTTACACAACCTGTCCATTCTATACAACTAATGCTGCTGAATGATAAATGTACCAAAAGGTTTCATGAATGTCTCTATGAAAAAAGGAAAAAAGGTACACATAGAATAGTAAGAACCAATCATTGTATTAGTGTGGCCATTCTCACCAAGATTTTACAGGAGATCTAAGATGGGAGCATTTTTGTTTGAACTTTGACCCTTTTTTCTTCAACTTTTCCATGTCAAGCCTATCAACCTTAATGTACCCTGCAATGGATCAATGGAACAGGTTCCCAGCAGATGTGATGAGATTCAAGTTAGCAAAAGCAAGACCAACTAATGGTCCTGCACACTGGAAACAATGGAATTGTTCTAAAAACACTGTAGTGTTACTTATACACACAGATAAGGGTAGGTATCAACTTATCTACCTATTTATAAATGGTAGGCAAAAGAACTTTCAAATTGTCAGAGAAAGATTCCATAGGTGGAACAGAGATATCTGCTTGCATTCCCTCTGTTGCAGAATAATTGAATCCAGCATTACAACTCTGGTTTGAAAGAGGAAACACTATCTTCCTTGCCTCTGGATAGGAAATGTTATTTGACATTTTTATTTTTTGCACCCTCTTGTCTTTAATCCACTTTGGGCATGTTTGAAAGTATGTAGGGTGGGAACCTGAGCAGTTAATGTAATGTAACTAACCAACACTCATAGCTAATACAGTCTTTATCTCTACAACAACCACAGGTTAAAGAACCAAGACAAGAGTTTTTTGGAGTGTCCAAACTACTGATAGTGAAAACATTGGAGAGGATTTGGTATATATGGCCAAATATTATAGTATAGATAACCTGCCTTGACAATGGCAGATGGGTACAGTAATATATATTTCAAAATAAGAACTCTAGTTGCCTCAGATATTCCATTGTTTTAAAAAAGATTCGCCTGACACCTATGGCCCCCTTATTGGACAGACAAGCAAGAATATCAGACTTTGTGATGTTAAGACGATCCTCTCTACTAAACCTCCTTTTGAGAAATTCAAAGCAGTTGGTTGGTGATCTCAATAGGAGTATCCTCCCCTTGAGAGTTCACCAACCTATGGAGGTGATGTTCTGACCAGCAGATTCATAGATCTTAAATTTTGACCAACATTGGAGAACCAAAAAGCTCTTCTAAGTCTTTTTGAATGAAAAAGACACACACATCTCAAAAAGAGATATGTCTGATAAAAAATGTAAAATAGGAAACAGAGGTAGAGAAATAGTAACTACTCATCTACAGTCTTCAATGTTAGGTTCTTTAGTCGTTGTTTTTTTTCTATGGTGTTTGAATAGCCACAAAGAAAAAAAAAACTTTCAGTATCCACTGAATCCACATACTTTGGTGTCCTACTAGGGTACATGCTATACTGTCAAACACTTGATGCACTGAGGACTTTGTAGTATTTTGTGGGTATTATACCCAAACATTAGAACCAGACATAATATTTTATCTCTGGAAATCTGATAACTCTAATCTTAGTGAATGATAAAAGGAGTCATACTTGTGTCAAAAATTATATACATGTTAGTGTGATGGTGAAAATACCAAGAATTTGTTGCAACATAACAAGTGATGATGGAAGTCATACTATCAACAAGAATCATGTCCATGTTAATGTGTGCTATAATAAGTGCTTTTGTCAGGAATTTGGTACATCTTAATAAGTGATGGCAGAAATTATACTTATGTCAAGAATTAGATGCATTGTAATGTGTAATTGTAGAAATAATACTTATGTCAAAAATATGACACACGTCACAGTGTGAAGATAGAAGTCATGCTGATGTCAAAACATTACATGCATCTTATTGTTTAATTACAAAAATGATATTGATGTGGTGCTGTTACAAATACATATCAAATATATGTGTAAACCAATTAAAATAAATTTAATCATCATCAGCCTACCAGGTCTCTATCTAATAAATAAGTTATATGCCTCAAAGTGAATTTATTTATTTTTTAATAATTCATTAACATAGAGTGAATAACCTGAAATTCATCTCACCTCTGGTGCTTTTACTTCCATCAAAACAGCAAAGTTCGTCAAGTGGTTACATGCACAAATTGTGTGCGAGACATTTGAGTTCTTAACCCAACAACCTTCTCCTGACCATTCCCTGTACAAAACAATACAAATTATCTAAGTTTTTATAGTCAGCAGTTGTAAAAGTAATGAATATTTATTTAAAATGAAAACATTTGATGATGTTTTCTATTAGTGATCACAATACCATCTACATCAAATAACGTGTACCCACTTCCACTTAATTCGTTTTATTTTCTTTTAAATGATTAGATTTTTTCGTTAACATCAAGTATTTGTTAAAGATCTAGTATTATATGTAGTTCAAAACTGATATCACACCATTATCTGTATAATCTAGTTTATTTCATTCTTCACTTACATAATATTACATATTTAACATTCAGAAAAACTACATGAATTTCAAGTATTTATATAAAGCTCATCATTTTAACTAAAATATTACTTATACACTGATGTGGTTTATGTTAACAGAAAAATTCTATAAATCTTGAAATGAGAAGCAAAATCATGCATATTATGTTTGTTCAACTCTGATATCAGTTACAAAAGTTATCCATATAGCTTCTAAAATTCAATCAAATACCACATTCATAAAATGCTGATATTATCACTAGATATTTACAACATTCTGAGATTCATGATACTGTTAAAACACAAAGAAGTGTTACATGGTTAAAATAAAAATATAAAGAGATCAGTAACAGTTACAACATACTGAGATTAGTAATATAGTTATAACATATTGAAGTTAGAAGCAGACAGCTATAACATACAAAAATTAATTACAAAATACTGATATTAGAAAATTTAGTATTACTAAAATTAGCAATATAGTTAAAACATACTATTAATAAGAGTTACAGCATACACAGCTTATGAGTCACTCATTTTTGACACTAGGTTTCTAACACCATATTTTGAATACCAAGTTTACTTAATTTTGTAGCAAATTAAAGACACTTCTTATTACTACTTATAAGATTAAAAGGTTACAGAACAGGTTATAAACTTCTAAAAACTATCATAATTACACCTGACTTTTCCAATTAGATTTTTTATTTTAAGAAGGAAATAATGAATAATTGTATCATGTTGGATGACCTTTTTTTAAATGATTTTTCCCTATCTATTGTAAGTTATATAATAACTCATGATATTGTACAGCATGACTTCAATAATTTACATAGCTTAGTACCTGTTTATACTATTAGTTGTTGTATTCACTGTTTTTGATATTTCATTATTTATTATGTCTGCTTATTCGTATAATAGCCTGACCATTGAGAGAAGTTTTATCCATGACATTATACAGGGTGTCCATAAATTATCTGACCCATTTTAAAAATAAATAACTTCAAAAATATTATAGATAGAATGCTCCAATTTTATTTAACATGATGAACAACTCATTTTTTTTTTCATCCTTTCTGTTACAGATCCATTGTAGGACCATTGCAAGAAAAGAAAAAAGTGACAAAAGAAATGGCAACACCCCAGGAAAAGGCTTAGTGTGTGGTTTGGTTTGCTGGATCCAAATAAATCATATTAGTGCAACAAAATTACCAACACATTTACGGAAAAGACCCTTCAACCAAGAATAACATAAAAGCTTGGTTTGAAAAATTCCTAGCAACAGGTAGTGTGTTACAACAAAAGGGAGCTGGATATCCAAGTGTATCTGATGCAACAGTTGATCATGTGTAAGAGACATTTCTTAGAAGCAAATGGTGCACATGTGAAAATATACAAAGATAAAAAAAAAAACTTTACGGGTTATTTGTCAAGTTCAATAAAACCAGAGTGTTCTATCTATACTTTTGAACTTATTAATTTTTAAAATGGATCAGATAATTTATGGACACACTGTATATTTCTGGTCACTTTATTATGCAAAATTAGCTTCATTAATTTATAATTATTTTTCAGCTCTGATCTATAGTTAGCTAACTTTTGATTAGAAAATATTGGTAATAAGGCCACAACATACTGGGAGTAGTAGTGGAAAGTTATAGCATGCTGAGTTTAGTAATATTGTTAAACTATAGTAAAAAAAAATACCTGAGGGTCAAGTCCCAATACACACAGTGAGGGTTTGTAACATTTTCCTCCTAGAAAACCAGCATGTAATTATATGCATTTAATAAATTTCTTAAAGTTTACATATTTCTGATAATCTATATCTTTAACATAATTTTCTAATGATAAATAACAAAAAATGACATATGATTTCAGTAAAGAATAATTACAAATTGTGATATGTACCCTTGATAGTAGTACATCTCATCAACTTAGCTTAAAATATTGTTTGATGATAAGATCTAACAAAACAACTTTGACAGATATTGGTGACTTGCTTCATATTAACACAAACTTTACAAATACTCAAATTACCCAGTTTTTATCAACATGCCTATAAGCTAGCAAAATGTATATATTTTAATGTTTTAGCATCATCATAATATTTTCAGTAAATAATATTCATACAGATTTTTCTTTCAAAAATCTTCTTTTAAAAACAATATTTTACCTGGATATGTTTGAGGCTGACAATAACAGGTTCTGATAATTGGACCATTCTCCTCCTTCCCACTGATGCTGCTACAATACGAGAGTTGATAGTCCAGGAGATGTTCTTAGTAGCTTTATCAACTGGAAGAACTGGAGACTGAAATCCATTTCCTGGCTGAAGTAGTTCATCTACTTTGTTGTAAACTCGAAGGATGACTCGAGCTAAACCTGGAAAAGAAAGCAGTAACAGACCAAAATATTACAAAAGATTGACTTGCAAGATACCAAGTTGTAAATAAACACATATACATACATACATGTTTAAAAAACAAATTAGCACATCTGGAAGTTGTTTAATTTCAATGTAAAAATACATCTAAGCAGATAGCTGGGAAATATGTATGGTGTTTTCTCAGAAAAATGAACTTATGAAATTTTCAATAAAAATGTGTTTTTCTTACAAAGAGTATCTGTATACAAGAAATTCAGTTTAATGATCAGGTTACACAAGACATCTATTAAACAATACTGTCTTTTTAGAGAACAACTGCTTAGCAAAAGATGTGTATTTATATAAAAGAAACAATTAGTAATATACACAATTATAAACTTTTACAAAGTTTTCAATTCAAACTTTTAAACTTTAATCATAAAACTTTATTTGACCAAAGGCAGACATGTGAAATAAAGCAATAATTATACTTCCATATATTTTTTTTTCTTTCTCTTATGTTCTGAAGAAACAAGACTGAATAAAATAGACCTGTATCATGTACAACAGTTATCTTTTACTATTTTTCAATTTCATATATTTTCTGGAAAGCTTATTTGATTTGTTTGTAATATACCTAAACAGTACATGCACTAGTGCACATACGGATATCATATGTAAAATAATTAGAAAACAAGAGGGAATCCTCAACAGCTGCACCATTTGAAATTCTTTTAGGCAGGATTAGAATAAATCTATGAGATCCTGGGTGTGGTCAAATACACCAATCAAAAGAGTTTGATCTCCTGAGTTCAAAACTATAATTATACCTCAAATCGGTCAAGAGATGACCAATTATGATGTAAAAGTCTGTGAAAAGTTGAAAAACTCAGAACCATTCTACGACTTGCTATGCCACGGCTAAAAAAGAAAGATATGTATATATGCTTATTCTCTATATATGTACAACTACTTATACATAATAGTGGTTATTGAAATTTGAAAAGGCTTCATTGTTTCTAAGTTTTTCTTATTTCGTTCTTCTTATTATTGATTTTGGTGATTTGTTTCAGTGTTGTCAGTTCTTATAATCGAAGTAAAACATTCTAGAAGTGTGATGTTTCCTTCGAAAAGTGACATTAGTGGAACATCATGGGTTAGAGATCAAGATTCATTGTTTCTGCCTGCTCAAGCATTACTTGAACATTCCAGCAATGGTAAGTGCAGAAGCTTCTGTACTGTGAGAGATTATGCAGCTAGATAATAATGAAACTTGTACACATTTTTAAATATATCTTACTGAAAACACACCAATCTAAGGAAAGTAAAATTTTACTTTTATGCAGACAATCTAATTTATGAAACCATAAATTAATTGTGTTAATATTCACTGTTTATTAAATTTTATTGCAAAAACACAAAATTTTTAACAACAAACGTGCTCATGAAAAACATTTTAATGAACAAAACTGCTTTTTTGTAAACATTAAAAATTACTTCTTTCTTAGTAACTCAAGAAAATTAAGTATATCTCTTACCAAAGTCACAGAAATCTTCATACAACTATAAAGTTCTAATAATAAAATGTGAATCTGATAGATAGATAGATAACATAAAAATTATTAGTTTGTGTCAACAAAAATATTTTTACTTACAAACATTACTCTTTGTAAACAAGTAGCTATTCTCTTGTACCAAAGTTTCAGCTAAGAGAAAGGCACTGTCTTCCAAACCTTGGAGCAGGTGTGACGCCACTTGTTTACGCTCCAGCTTGGACATGTCAAGCCATGCTTCATTCTGTTTATCTTCTAGCAGGTTACTGACAGTTTCAACCACAGACTGCATTTAAAAAGAATTAAACAATAGATAAAGCTATTACATACATCTGTACAACAAACAGAGTCTGTTTTCAAACTTATAATTTTTTTTCTGAACTGTATATATATATATATTATTAATAAACACACTTTTCTTATGTTAAGAAATGAAAATCAGGTCTTCTAAGGAGAATCTCATGTTTACTAAAATAACCATCAGTGAAAAAGACATTCATGACATAAGGGGTTTCAAATGTTACTACCCTCTACTATATAAATATTAGCAATGTATGACAGCAATGGGCCAGCTTAATACATAGTTAATTTTTTTGCAATAAGAAACAACTGCACAAACTAATAAAAAAAAAAGATTATACAAGAAACATACAATATAGATTAACAGTAGAATTCAATAAACGTTTTCCTTCAATAATTCAAAAAAAGAAGTTTTGTTCAATTCATATGATATTTTATGGAGAGTAAGAAAATTTGTAATATTTAATCCAAGTTCTTGCTATCTCAGTCCTTGAATATCTTGGTTACAGGTTGTAACATTATATATATATTTAAACTTTTTTTTAACACAGGTCTTTTGAAACATTTTGAAATTTGCCAAATAATTACTAATTTATAATACTAGAGACTTATTCCATTGTGTATCCTTTATGTATAAATAGTTTACAGTGGATTTAATAAAATTTATAAACTGAGAAACAAACATGCAAACATATATGCAGGTAGAGTTACCATTTTTCAGATGTTAGCTAATGTAACATTTTGTCTGACACAGTGATATGTTGAACTGTATTAATTTCTAACTGGACCAAGCTTCTATTCTGTTAAATAAATTAGCCAGTGTATTTATAAAGATTATTTTTGACTCCCTCTAAGTTACTATATACCAGAATAGCATCAGAAAGTATTTTGAATTTGGAAATATGTTTTGAAATGGAGATTTATTATTGAAATGTGGGAAATTGAAAGTAGCTCATACTTTTTGTTTTAAAATTCACTGAGATTTCAAGGTGCTCTGTTTCAATTTCTATATTATAAGGAAAATGTGGACACACTGAGAAATGAGAGGAGTAGAACTTACTTCATAAGGAATAAATAAGAAGTTAAGATTTGGTTGTTCTAAGTTGTTAAACATACAACAGCCTAGTAGAAAGTTTATTTCAGCTCTATAGTTAAGTAGTTAAGTTTTGACAATCAAATATAATTATACAAGATACAGACTTTTTCTACTTTTGTTTTGAAAGAATTACTTTATAATGTGAATTATTCATTTTATAAATAGTTTACAAGATAAAACTGCAGCAAACACTTTATGCTCTTAAGTCTGGTTCACAGAGGTGTACATAGAAAAGCCAAAATTGGCTGTTAGAAAGGCTGTTAGTTATAATTTTTTAAGAATAAATTATGGATAAGAAATGTCTTATTTTTAATGTTAGCAGTGGGTGTTAATGATTTTGATTATAAACTATTAGTTTCCACCTCACAGCTTATTCTGCTGTATGATAAAATATTTATTTAGATATGTACATCTGCTCATGAAAACATTTTTTGCAGTCTAGCTGATAAAAAAATATTTTCTAGCTCTCTTAAATCAATAGGTCCAACCCTACTGAAGTGATTGAACAAGTTGTAAACCTGTCCAATCCCCTAGTAACTCATGGTAGCCCTGTAACATGTAACAGTCCCCCACAAAAAAGATGTATGAAATTGCAAGGAACAATCTGATGGCATTTTCCATAATACTTCAAATAAGCAATATTTTTGTCAAACTTTTGCCCATCCCTTTAAACTTCGTTTGATACCTCTAATGTGTTCTCCATGCTAAAAGGAAGTATTGTTATGTGGACATTACAGTAGATCCCACATATCCAAAAAAAAAAGTTAAATACTAGATATGTATCTAACCATGAATTAATTTATTCAAAATTCCTTGAAGCTACATAACACAAATTATATAACTCATGGATTTTTCTAAAGAATTGAAAAAGTCTCAGTTTTCATTACTTCAGAAAAATCGATGATATAACTGCATATTTACAAAATGCTCAATTGAGAGCCATCAAATTACCAGGGGTCATACTTAAGTACTTCTTTGTTTAAGCAATGCAAATATATATAAACTTATAAAATATAAATATATTAACATTTGGTCTGTTGATTCACTTAAGTCTTTCTCTATTACCTTATAAACTTTTTTTGTTCTTGTCATTGAGATTTCATCTATTAATTTCTCTGAGTGATAAATAGATCTGTCTTTTTCATTTGAGGACACAAAGTGGTTTACATTATAAATGAGAAAGGAAATCGCATTCTTATTACCTCTAAGAGTTCTTTGAAAGTTTGATGTCGACGCCATATGTCCAGGTAGCTGTCCATATTGTTTAAAGCTCTACGTAACGTCAAATGAATCATGGATGCCACATGGGTGACATCTTTACTGAAAAGTGGCCTAGTTAATGTCATCAGAGCCATTTCTGTGGCAATACTGTTAATAGAATCTCCTCCATGCATCTGAATAAGAAAATGGTGTAAAAAATTGTAAAGATACAATACTTTAAATCCACAACGATTAATTGCTTAACACAAAAAGGGTGTGAAAAAGTGGTACAATACCATGAGATTTGTAAGTTCGACCTCTATGTTAATTTTGTTCATGCTTCACTAGATTTTTATCTTATTAATTATTAACATTAACTTCTAATCAGAGTAGCTATGAACTAAGAAAAAAAATCAAACTGGCAAACAGTATAGCCAATGAAACCCTATATACTATTTTTTATTTACAAAGATTAGAATGTATTGTTTAATCAATTGGGTACCTTTGCTATTAATGATAGTTATCCTCGCCCCTGAAATTAGGGGGGAGCGAGGGTATTGCAAGCTGGTCTGTGTTTCTACTCATGTATCTCACAATATAATAGACACGAAAATTTTACACAAGAGTCCTCCCCAAATTTGATCTGGATCACTTTGAAGCATTTCTCAATAACGTGGAGATAGGGCATCTTTGTGGTTTTGGGTTAATAACTCTGTAAAACACAATCAGATTAGTACCAAATGTCATGTGCACATTTAGGCTAAGACTCATCATACAAAAAAAATTATCTGGATCATTGATCATTTTTGATCTGAGAAGAATTTTCTAAGTTTTTGAAGGTGAAATTTGATGTTATCCAATATAAATACATCAATCTCTCAAAAGGAGTGGCAGGGCAAGAGCACGCAACCTCTCTAATTGCTCATTTCAGCTGTAATTCCAATATCTCATTGGGTCTAACCAGCTTAGAGTTAGGTTAGTCCTGAATATCTATATTGTTACAATAGCTGTTGGAATGTCATTAACCTTGGAAGAACGGATGGAAGTGACTCTGCTAAGATATTGGAACAATATCAACAATGTAAATTTCAAACAGTTATAAAGGAAAGACTTTGAAGTTTGAGAAATTATGGCAGTATTTGACTTATCACCCCATAGCCTTTACGAACAGAGCAATAAAAACACATTTTTAAACTTCTAATTCTATTCTATTGCCCTGGAGCAAAAATATAAAGACAGGTAATAAATTCAAGCTATTAAAATCCATACAACTTTCTAAATTCCAGTAACTTTAGTTTAGAGGATGGAACAGCTGAGATGAACCAATACTGGCAATAGGTTCCATGTTATCCCAAACTTATATGTTAACTTGTATTGTAAGTTGTTGAATAAATAAAACATCTGTACAATGTTTTAATTAAATTTGAAGCCTTTTATTTTTACTTTTACATAAACTTCAAGTTCAAATAGTATTGTTGCGTCAGCGAGGTCACGTGACTAGTATCACGCCACGTCCTCTCGAACCTTCGTGAATTGTCGGGAGACTACTAGATTGGGGGTAGCCTGGTATATATAAGACGGTAACAACGTGACGGAACAATGTGTGTAATTGAACTGAGTATTGTTGAGGTCGAGCATTAAGCGTTTGTTATAGAGCGACTGTTGAAATTAAGTGTATCGCAAAGTTATATTCAGAAAGAATAAACCAGTTTTATTTAAGAAAGGACTTGTGTCGCTAAAGTTTCGTCGGAACGAATTTATGGAAAATTAACTAACGACTGGAGACGTAACAGTATTAATAAAATTTATAGCAATAATAATAATAAGTAATATACCAAACACGTACGATCGAATTTCGAAATTAAATTTACCTTGGTCAGAAAATTAAACCCAATGATGATCAAAAACGCATTAAATTAACAAAGGTAAACTTACTCTCTCCCTTAAATTATCCACCCAAACTGATTTGCATTCTTTTAAGTCAGGATCTTTCGGTGTCCACTTAAGATCAGCACTACAGCGCCACTTAGCAAAACCTTTAAAAAAGTTTACAGAAGTGAAAAACATTGATAAAAATATTAAAATTGTAATAACATCCACAAAGTCGTGAAGATCGTCTTTCAGAAAATTTAATAATAGACTTCTTATTGGTGGAAATGAAATGATACTACATGGTAAGGTTACATTAATTCAAAAATGTCTGGTGGTTAAAGTACAAGATATAACAAAAAATCATAACGTAATGCTTTCTTACTTGGTTACTTTTACACCTGTCAACACTTTAAACTTTAGTTAACATGTTAAACTATCCTTTTGTAATAATTTCATTTGTTATTTTTTATGTGATAAAGTAGTTCATGTTTTCGATACTAACCAATAGTTAAATAGATTAATGATAAGGGTGTTGATATACTTGTAGCATTTCCCAATAGATAGCAGTGCAATACGACCAGTTTACTTTGAGATTCCCTTAATAGATATTGAATAAATATTGAATGATGAGTTCTTTAGAATCTCCTAGATTAGTTAGAGTGTAAGTAATGTTTTACTAACTAAATATATGAAAGCACGATTTTAACACTTAATAAACTATGTGAATTTTTCTCCTTATTTTTGTAATATACATGCTACACCATTCAATGAAAATTGCAAAGTTCATCTTAACATTGTGGAAATAAAAATACATCTTTTATGAATAATCTGGTAAATATTTATATATATCGTAACTGACTTCCGTTAGAAAAATTTTATCACTTTGTTTCTATGACACTTTATTTGAGGGAACCGTATATTCCCAACAAAGATGCGTTAGTGTGAAATCAGACATACCAACCATTTCTCTATTAGCCATAAAATCATAATTAAACATCAGATAGATTTACCAATATATATACATATATATTCATTTGCAAAGAGTTGAAAACCTATATTATTAACCAGTCAGACACTATGAATAAAAATATTGTATTAATTGTAAAAGTTGGATTAACGATGCGCTGAATACTACTTCAAAAATATCCTACTACGTAAGACTGAGACTTGAGTATGTTATACAGCGAATTTAGAGCCTCAATACGTCATTATATAAGTCGCCACGTCCTGACATGATCTATCTAACGACCGTGCAGTGCAGTTATCATTGAACACGTCATGCCCAAAGTACACTACTCCTCTAGGCACGCTTTCCATAATCCATCTAGTGCAGGGGTCAGCGGTTTTCCAACACCTGTTTCAACAGTTCGGTCGGATAGAAATCCATAGTCGACTTGACCAGTATACTTTCGTATTGTATAGTAGGTATTTCCGTTTTATTCTCCAGCTGCTTGAGTTATGTGACGATTAAATAAATCTGGCGTGCAAGAAATGAGTCTGTACGTGACTTGTGTCAATTTTTTTAAATAAGATATTTTTTCATTATGTTGCGTACTGTTCCATGAAATACGTGAACGGCTTTTGCTATTGACCTTTGTGTTCTTGGATTCTCACCTGAAACCGCACTTTGCTTACCAAGGCAAGAGTAAGACTTGTTGCAGGTCTCTTTCTTGATGGTTCTAGTCACCATATTAATCCGTATTCCCTTGTTTTCCAATGTAACTAGCTACAAGGGGTATACATCCCTGTCTTAGAAACTCTAAATTCCGATCTGAACACATCTTTATGAGCCGAATATATAAATATTTTGCGTCGGAAACAGTTTTTACTTACTTTTCTCCAAAACTATCAATTTTCGATGATATTACATTACTTAAGAAACACTAAACAATATCAAAATGTAGTTTTAATACGTTCCATCCTACTGTGACCTTATATTGGCTGTAGTTATCACGTGACTTGCTAATATGTATATTCAAAATCGTTTTAATATACTTCAATCTGACTGTGAATAAAGTGACTTTTGAATCAAACTGAGCAGTATTGTGACACTGGATATTTCCCTCATTATATGCTAAAGTAAATGTGAACGTTGTGATCAAGAAGTACCGAATCTTATACTGAAGTACATTTTATTGTGAACTGTATATTACAGAGGCTAACAACTGTCTTGTTGATCTAGAAGTAATTAATTATTAATAACATTTTGCACATGCTTTAGACTTTTTTTTAACTTGGATTTACTTGACATACACAAATTAATTTCAACAGTTTTATTATGTCAAGCTTATGACCGACTTTGTGTATTCCTATGAGTGTATTCCTATTTGATTACAGTAAATATGAGGACAACAGCCTTTCCTAAACATTTGATATCTAATCAAAGTAATACTTCAAGGCAGAATGTGTGCAGAATTGTTAACATTTTCAAAAATAAGGTTGTTGTTTTTTTAATTTGCAAGACGTGTATAGATTTATGAAATCTATGGAAGTTTTCGTGTTCAAACAGAGAATGATGTGTTACAGAATATCTGATTGGATTTTACTGAATAAAACTTCTTTTACGTGACATGATGAAAATCCGTCGTGAATTTTGCGGTTCTTCGGAGTGTTTTGTGATCAAAGGCTCATAGAAAATAACTTCTACAATAATTTATGTTGACAATTTTTCTTAAATTGTTTAGAGCATGTTGAAGGGAAGCGGAGTGATCTCTTCCAGGAATATCACATCAGACATGTTCCTTAAAGATTATTGAACAAAGTCTGTGAATCCAGCTTTACCGACAGTGTTACCAAATATACGTGTTTGTTTGTTTGTAATTAAGCACACAGCTACACAATGAGCTATCTGTGCTCTGCCCACCACGGGTATAGAAACCCGGTTTCTAGCATTGTAAATCCGCAGACATACCGCTGTGCCACTTGGGGGCAGATAAGTGTAACATAAATAAAATGACATAATGTCTTTCCATAGTAAAAAAAATATCGGTATATTCGTTGTTTGTTTGTTGTAATTCGCGCAAAGCTACTCGAAGGCTATCTGCACTAGTCGTCCCTAATTTTGAAGTGAGAGACTAGAGGGAAACCAGCTATTGTCAACACCACCCACCCTCAACTCTTGAGCTACTTTAGTCTGACCGAATAGTGGTATATGACCGTCACCCTTATAACACATCCACGGCTCAAAAGTGCAGAGCACGATCTTTTATTTATTTATTTATTTTGGTAATGGGCGCAAACTATGGAACCTCAGCTCTACAGTCCGCCACACTAACAATAGAGTAGAACTCGGTTCATAACGGTGTAGGAATAGAATATATAGCTAGTTTTCGTTAATGAAAGAAACGTATATTTTTTGTAGTACTTACTGAAAAATACACGTTCATCAATTTATGAGCCATAATTACTTGGAGTTGACTTACCTGTTGCCCCGCCTGGACAATTTTGAATAGTTATCTCTCCTGCAGTAGTCCAGTTCCAACTCAAGTTATGAGAAGTAACCGGTGAACACATTCTGCTGGGGTCTTTATATTTCACTTGTGGAACTGTTGTGGACAACGGTATTGGGGCTGATTTTAAAATCAAACATTATATTAGTTAGAGAAACACATTAAAATTGTATTTTAATACATTCAGTATTAAGATTGTCAATGCATTATTGTACAAATGTTATGCCCTAATCAGTGATATAGAGCTAAATTTAGAAGTGAGAGATCGCGAAGATAAAATAACGCAAGATGTTAAGTATGTGATATATAGAGAATAACGTAGTGACGTTAAACGTTCCAGTTAACGAAATAATAAGACTTTTTAGGTCTAACAAGGGTTATTAAGATCATATCTGATGGAAGATATCTTTTCTTTTGTTCTTTAGTTATTATAGATTTTGAATCAGAGGTGCTTAAAAACAGCATTTAAGATTTATGTTTGGATGTTATACATCAAATTCAGATGAGTTCGGTATTTTATAAAAGGCCACCGCTATAATGGTTTGTGGCAGACGAAAGGTAGATCTGAAGTGTTATGTTTCGAAATCCGCAAAGAGAGAAAGAAATAATTAACAATTAATATTTTAATCATTATTTTTGAGCCTAGAAAAAAAAATGAACAAAACAGTTTAACGCTTACAAAATACCTATTCGTTTACGTTATCTCAATATAACACTTTCAGCTGAACTTAGATTAAAAATTACAATATACTGATTTTCAAAACAAGAGTAATTATGTAGATTAATCTGCAAATCCACATACTTGTTACAATAAAAATATTTTGTTATTTAGGATCTTATACACATATACTATTTTTAAGTCAATGAATTACGAATATATATTTATCACCTTGGCTTGATTTACTTTTTCATATAAATACAGGCGAGAAATTATTTATATATATTTCACGAGGAAAGGTAGTATTTTATAATGTTTGTGATCGTAAAAATTTTAGTGCTTCCCAAGCTTTGAACCTTTCAAAGTAGTCACTACTGGCTCAAATGCATCCAAAGTAGGTGGCTATAGGTCTTAGGTTTCTTGTTCGAAAAAACTCGACTACAAAATACTCTTATATTTAATTTCTTATATTTATTATGAAATATATTTGTTTGTTAAGCACAAAATTACACAATGGACTATCTGCACTTTGCCCACCGAGGGTACGATACCTGATTTATAGTCATATAAGTCCCCAAACTTACCGCTGAGCTAAGAGGATGGCACGAACTATCATTTAAACAGTCATTTAAATTAAACATTATTACTCTTGGTTTGGGTATAGCACGACGACACTGTATCAGTCGCCATAGTTACAATCTTGAATCTGTCATAGAACATTTTAAACAATAAAATTTCAAAGCAGATAAACTCGTGAGAGAAATAAAACTAGGACTGATTCAACAAGCCCCTCCACTAGAACCTGAACTGGGAATTATTATTATGATATGATTTACAAAAGTGCAAAAGGTTTCGGTCTAAGATTATCAGAAAATCAAATTATAAAATACTTAAAGCGTCTGATATTTAGTTATTATTTATTGTTTTTGTAATAAGTATAGGTATGTATAGTATAGTACATGTATTTGCTTGATTCATTTTACGATTAAAACCATAATATCAAATACATAAATTTTGCGTTTGAAAGCCTTGCAAAATAGAATAGCAACATAATACATATTACAGATAAAATAGCTATTTATTTTATTGTATTGTTCAATTTTCATACCGTGAATTAAAACGTTTTCATTTTCTTTCCCCTTTTTCTCATTTTCTATCGAGGGAATTGGCGTTTTGAGGGTGGTGGCGGTCGCTGAAGAAAGCTTTGTGACCTCGGTTGTCGACACTGTTGTTACAGCATTTGATGTTGATGAGCTTATTGAAGTACCTAACCCACCTGCACCGCTTCCTTCCAATTCAGAACCATAGTTAAATTTACTAGGGTGAAGAGTGCCATTATTTAACCAAGGTCCGATTACAGGTTTACCAGCAGAATTAGTGAAATTGAAGGTGTGAAAAAATGGTGCATCTATTACAGGGTGAGCTGTATCCGTTGGGTTATTTGCACCAATACGTGAATTGGCTGAAACAAATAATAAAAAAATATACATTAATTAGTTAACAAGCGCCTTCTGTGTTTTCGTAAGCTTACTAAAGTAATATATATATCACAATATGTGCATTCTATGTAAGATACAAAATATGCAGTATTATTATCATTATAAGTAGCGCTTATTTATGTTCGTGTCATGTGTTAAGGCACTGTAATAATTTTTTTGTGTGTTTTTGTACAAATTACACAACTTTTATGAAAAATACGCATGTTGTTTTTGATAATTAATGTGAACTCGAACTTCAAACAAATAGTACGAGTTACATTAGAAATACGTTTGTTAATTCGTTGATTTGTGCATAAAGCTACTCGAGGGCTATCAGCGCCAACAGTCCCTAATTTTGAAATGATAGACTAGAAAGAAGACACCTAGTCAACACCAACTACCGCCATTTCTTTGGCTACATTTTCACCAACAAATAATGGAATTTACCATCACATTATAACGCCCTTAAGGTTGAAAGAACAAAGATGTTTACTGACGGTTTGTTTGTAATTAGGCACAAGGTACACAATTGGCTATCTCTGCTCTGCCCACCACGGGTATCGAAACCAGGATTCTAGCGTTTTAAGTCCGCAGGCATACCACTGTGCCACTGGGGGGCGTTCAGTGACGGAATTCGATGCCGCGGTCCGCAAATTGCCCTAACTACTAGGCCGAACAATTTAAGTAATCACCAGTGATTATAAAGAAAATAACATATACATCTCGAAAAATGCAGTAAAACTTCTTAACAAGCAGGAAAAAAAGTTTTTTTCAAAGAATTTATTTTTATTTTATCATAAACAACGAAATATAAAAAAAAAGCAAAAAATGCGGTGGAAATTAAACATATATTTTTTTATTCAAAATCAAATAGCTTGACGTTCTTCTTCACTCTAGCTTACTGGTGTGTAAATAATATTGCATTGGAAAAGGTGACATAATTCCATGAGATATTTTAACAAAATGAAAATTTTAACATCAGTGATCTAAAAACATCTATATGAGCTATGCAGAATTTTCAAAAATGAAAATAACATATTATTATTCAAATTTTAAATAAGGGTAATACTTTCGTGAATAATTTGGCCATACTTTTAAAGATAATAGAAAATAAACTATTTTTTATGTTACATAGAAAAATAAAAAACGGTATGGGAAGAAAGGTTTCTTTTATTACATTCTGAAGTATTTTGTTTATGTAAATGTATTCATAATTTGCTTCCATACACGCAGATTGGTCCCAATTTCTGATATACTCATATTCTTAATTTCATAATTTACACACCTTATCTTTAACATTGGGCGTTCATCTAACAAGATTACTGTGGAAATAATCTAAATTTTTTCCAAAGTTTAGTTTCCTTAATATGTGTATCTACTCACGAGAAATGCAATGGTATTGGACTTCCAAGTATTTCAGTGTTCCAGGGCAGGGATCACCAAAGCTGTCGCTCGAGACGAACACGCTACACGTGGATTTACCGCTACACCTGTGAAAAACGTGAAAACAGAAATATGTGTATAAATATATGCGTATGTGTGTGCCCATACACACACCGTTATGTATACATAATAAATTTTGTTCTATTTATGCTACTCACACTCAATTCTCAGACGTACATATCAATATAATAATCAACTTAGTGCATGCATTATAAACACTGTTTCAAACTACAGAGAAGTGTATCATTGATAAATATAGATAAAGTAAGTGATTGTCTTACTTGTCCTGCATAATAAGAAAAGACCTGTCCGACATACAAATCACGCTCCAGTCCGTATTACCCTTATCATTACAGATGCTGATGCTAAATCTTCCGTAGTTTGCTCGAACAAGACGAATATGGTTCTCGTTGTTACATGAAATTTTAAGTTCCCTCCCTTCACAGGCGTAGGTACTCGTGTAGTGGAACCGCTCTGAAAGTAAACATTAAAAAATATTGATTGTGAGCTTATAAATGTGACTCTAAACCGTCGAATTGAATAATTAAATTTTGTTGTTGTTTCGTGCTAACGACAACAACTCATCGCCATTTTGATAAATCATTTTTTCATTTAAGCTCATATTACTAATGCCATAAAGAATATTTTTAAAGTTATCCTGTAGGTTAAGTGTATTATACATATACATAAATATTAATGGATATTCACATTATGGATGGTACTGTCATTATTTTCAGGTACTTCTTCGTTGTTAAAGGAAATCTTTGTTATAAAATTGGACTAGTGTAATTTGTTTGTGTTTTGTTATCTTGTACACATAGTATTACTGTGAAATCCTAACGCAGCTTAATATGTACATACCGAATTTAGTTTTTATTTTTGCTAGTTGATAATGCTAAAACTAAAGTTTTATTCAAACTCAAAATATTAGTAAACAACCAAAACAAAATCAAATTACCTATAAGAGGGGGCCTGATAGAAAAATTCGGCATGGAAACTGAAATAAATAAATGATACAGCAAGCTAAGCAAAATTGATTTAAAAACTCAAATAATGGATAATTAAACATAAAATAAATATTGGTTGATAAAACATGTACAATTTTTTGATAAAAGCATGTGTAGGCAACATCTCTATCGTGGATAATACATTAATAAAACATACGATTTAAGAAGTGTTGATACCTCTGTGTTTTATGTTGACTAAAACTTATAAGTGTTTCATTTACATCAGCTTAGTAACTGTGTGATATAAAAAAAGAACAGAAAATTGAAAGATTTAAAAGGATGGAGCACATGCACCCAGAGTGATATCCCAAAATATATCTATACTATTAAACCTCAAATGAGTCTTTTTACAGTAACCATCGCACATTTCATAACAAAATGTCGTCATTCATTGCTATAGCCTTTCTTTATTTATGCGTTGATGGTGAGGGGTGGGGGCGTGAATTGTGCCTGTTACCATTTGTTTCGCTTAATTAAATGCAATTCTGTGGCTTTCTATGGATTTATATAATACAATTTTCTTCAATGATGAAAATAGGTGTAGTGATTGAAAACTGGTTACTAATTAAAATTTTTCAATGACAACTAGGGACCATTCATATTCTTTTTTAAACGCATAAATATTCTAAGCATTTTAAAGTATGAAGCATTTACTTTAATAACAACCAGAGGGCGCTAAAAGTATATGCTATTGAACTCTTGGGAGACTGTATATATATATATATATACAAGTAACAAAAATTATTTTTAGAGTTGGTCATGGGTTAAAAACTTTTAACTTTATCTGTTAACCATAAAAGAGTCTGTAGTGAACTCTGTTCTCACTGAACAACAATTTAATTTTTATGTGTAGGATCAGCATTGTTATTTGGTCAGGACATTTCAATATATATTTTTACAGTGATGTTATGTAACCATTTATTGTTATATTTTTTTTGCACTAAGTTAGTCACACTTGCATTTTCTCCAGTTGTGTTAGTGAAAGGTTTATCACCCTTCCACGCATTTGTATATCATTACATTGAAGATCTATTTGCTTGTTTGTACACATTATCTGTTGCTTTATCGATGCTGAACCCTTTTAGAAATTGAATGTAGGTTCTTTGCTGCATAACGATTTTTGAGTTATTTTTGACACAATGCCCGAGATTAGCGTATTGTCGTTGCGGTTTATTTTATTGAAATAAAGTGCATTGCAACAATAATTTCCTGGAAAACGTAAATGAAAAGCTCAAGTATGTTTTGAGAGAGTTAAGTATAATACATGAGGCTTATGTTTTCTTATCTTTTCCTTGAAAACGTGGATAGATTCGTACTCAGGGTGTAAATCGCTAAATTTGGCGAAAATCGATTAAAGCCACAGGTGTGTACTTTTCCAAACTATTTGGTACATCTTACACCAGGGAAGTTCTGTGGAAATATCAAATAAACAAATAAAACTGATTTGCTGATGCCATAACAAAAATAGAGAATTAAACAGTGATGGTAAACATAAAGATGACTTTTCCTCGTCCTTTATTATCAGACGTTGTGGTTTTTATTCTGCAAATATCCTATTTCTAAAGACTATCTACTATGCTCTTGTATAATAGAACAAGTAAAAAAAATTTCGTTTTCCAAACCAATATCATTTATCTATATGTTTGTGTTTTGAAATTATTTTTTAGCTAATAAGATTCCTTTGCTTACTTGTTCTAAAGCACAAAGGTACACAATGGGCTATGTGCCCACCACGGGTATGAGAAAACCGGTTTTTAGCGTTATAAACCTACAGACATACCGTTGAGCCACTGGAAGGCAGGTACAAAGAACTGAAAAGAGGTTTTAGACTTTTCTGTTGTTTCTATGAAGAGAATAACGAAATGTTTTACGTGGCATAATATTTAGTTTCTCTTAATTGTAATATTAGATAATTTCGTACAATTACAGAGGAGAAATAAAATATACTCTATAGGTCTCTTCATGATTTTAATCACTCTGAAATAAATAGGCTAAATAACTATAAAGTAAAGCTGTCAAATCTTGTCCTTGATTCTTCAGTCAACACCATTCCAAAAATATGATATTTCATTTTTCAATTAACTAGTCGTTCTGTTCCTTCTGTAGTTAACCTCCGTAGTTGGTGTTTGTTTGTTTTGTAATTAAGCACAAAGCTACACAATGGGCTATTTGTGCTCTGCCCACCACGGGTATCGAAACCCGGATTCTAGCGTTGTAAGTCCGCAGACATACCGCTGTGCCACTGGGGGGCCCGTAGTTGGTGTATTTTAGTATCATAATTCATTTTCTATAGTGAAACGAATAACAACGACATTACATTATGGTACATCTATTTATGGAGAAGGAGAATTACGTGGAAAAGAATGGGTGTCGATGGATGAACTTAAGTTTCTGACTGACCAAAAACACACACACACACTTGTCTATAATAAAATTGTTTAATTTGTGTGCTAGCCAGTTTATACGCTCATCTGCCTTTCTCAACTTTATAAATCGGAAAACATTAGAGAGCAAAGATACATTTTATTCTAGCTCATTTCTGTAGTTATTGATTTCAATATCATTGCTAAGCAAAAATGGAAAAACACCTGAAGATTATCCATGTAGCTTTTTCAGCTGTATCCACTCTTGCAGGAATCTGCCCTCTGTATTTAGTATTTTCTTGACTGTAGCAGGATGCACTGAATAGGTCCATATTGTATAGAAAGAAGTAATGAATAGGATGGGTGAAATGGATGGCCGTTCATCAGTTCCTTCTAATGGAACACCATTGTCATATCCACCGAGGGAAATGGAGAACGTTATAACAGTGAAAGGCAGCTAATGCCCTTCCACCCAGCCGATGGTGATGGAGACAATAGAGTCTGGTATGACAGGATTATAGCTTTCTAGGAACCAAGAAAGTATCCTGGATACCGAACGTGCTGAAACAGACCAACTCGTTTCGGGGTTATAATGCACGCCTTAGGCTGCGGGCGTGAAGGCCCGCCTGTCGCTGTTTATTTCGCTAAGTCCGCGGGGCGTCCGTCCATACCCGTTCATTCGTTCTTATCATTTCCATATCTTCTACTGTGAGGGTGTCTAATCATTAAATGTTTGGAGACGCCAACAGCTAGAAGACCAGGCAAGATTCAGGAGACTAATTTAACTGTTTGGGTGGGACTTTATGGCAAGTTTTAATCCCGATCTAAAACAGCCGTGCGATAATGGAAGTAGTTTGGTGTGAGGAGGCGAGAAAGGAGGAAACTTGGGTTGGCATCAAGTAACATCAGTCAGATGAGTCTGGTCCCTCGTGGTTTAAACCACATGTCACTGACAACAGCAGGAATGGAAACAACACGAGCATGTACAGACCTCTGCCTGATAGATGGACAATCGATCCCAGTGGACTTCTATATCAGCTATTACTATGATGGTTCAAGAAATAATCGGCCCAGTCTGGCAGAACTAACAATCAATCTTTTATGAACATGGAAAAGTGTCCGAAGCTGTTGCTAAAGGCTGTATCTTATACTACTTCATCTACTATATATATATATATATATATGTAAAAAAACAAACAAAAAAAAAACAATTGGGCATAATTCAGTGAAATACCAGTTTCTATTCATACTTTTATCCATTTATAGATTTAGAACAAACAAAATGTTTCTTTCTTTTAAGCGAAAGTTATTTAATAATACGCAGTCTGAAGGTTTTGGACATATTTAATTTCATTTAACGACTACCCGAAATAAACGTTTTTATTCGCTGAAATTTTAGTTATTATTTTTTTCAGAAATTACTATCTGTTTCAACTATTAAACCAGAGAGGGAGTTCGTTTCCTGAAAAAAAAATTGCTACAAAGAAAAAGAAACCAAAAAACGGAATGTCGAACATTTTTCTTTTTAGTTAGTAGTCGTTTTTCTCAATTCACACATCTTACACTAGTATTTTCTTTTATTCCACGTTTGAGTTAAATCATTTCTCGTTTTACTAATACAAATTTAATTACTGGGATCTTATAGCGCTTTGCATGATGGTAAATGGAGAACCCATCTAAAGTTTAAGTACATTTAGATATTCATAAGCTTTCATGATTTTTTTATTATTTTTCTTTACCCAAGAGCTTGTTTGTTTGTTTATAATTAAGCACAAAGCTACACAATGGACTATCTGTGCTCTGTCCACCACGGGTATCGAAAACCGGATTCTAGCGATGTAATACCCAAGAGCAGTGCTCTCTTTAAAGGAAAGTTTAGAATAAAGATAACTCGTTAAATATGATAAACTGTGGCTCTTAATTCTGAATATAGTACGTTATTGTGTTTAATTACTTTATTTTTCATGGTACATGTGAAATGAATATTAATTATAAGATACACCAGTGGAGCCTTGAAAAAAGTAGGATAAAAACACACGTTGAAAGAATTTATTTTGAAATTATGAGTTGCATCCGTTTGGAAAATTATTTGGTAATAAGACTCGACACGAGTTTGTTAAAAGCAAACAATTTCGCATACATCGGATATATTGTGTATGTGGATGAGCGTTCTTGTGTTTAATAATTATACAGTCTTGGTTTGTTTTAAGATTTCTCTAGTTATATATATATATGAAAATATGAGAAAATAAGATATTTGTTCTTGTTTTTTACAGCAAGTTATACATGTTAATTGAGGCGAGGGCAAGGAGCTCTGTTTATTTGTCCATAAAATATAAATATGCTTATATATCGGTCAGATAAAGCTTGGTCAGCATGTTTGTTACTTGCTAATGTTTTAGCAAAGAAAGCTTTGTATTAGAAATATCAAATATAAAGCCACCGACATATTTAATGGATATATTTCAACACGTGCCACACGAGCTAGTCCGACATCTTGATATGGATCCAAAAAAATGAATCATTCCAGAAAGGTTTTGATTGTTTTGATTAGACAAAAAGAAGAAGACGTTCGGTACTATTTTCGAGATCTAGATCGCTGGACCAGACTCGTGACCTGACCTCTG